GGACCAACGGCGATGAAATTCAAAATCTGAAGGGCAGCTTAGGTTTGGCGAAGACACATGAGACAACAAATAATTGGCAGGAACAGTGACAGGGACAAACCCAGAGAATTCAAACCGATGACTCAGCATATCTCAACATTCAATGAGTCGGTCGTTTCAATGAGACCAAACATCATAGCGGCACGGCGGCGTCTGAGAACAATTCAGACGGGCGCTGGACTGGTAAGCCGTCGTATGTTGTTTACAAACAAAGGCTTTAAAGCTAAATCTACCAGTATCTGCCATCTATATTTGACGACTTGCCAGCCAGGAGCCATCGATATTTTCTCCAATGCGGCGGTGGTGCAATTGACATTTAATTGAAGTAATTTAATATCATTTGAACTTCAATTGCTGTTAAAGAAAATGTCATATCCCATTGACAAACCGCCAGATGCTGTTCTGTCAAACCACCGCCGCTCAATCTTTTGGTTCTTCGTCATTTGCAACATTGACAGTGCATAGCGCGTCAAAAAAATAACCCAGTGGCAGAAACCGCATGGGACTCAACCACACCAGATTTGAATTTTCTCTTATCTCAAATGTGGGTTGACATCACTGTCACAGGACAGTTGACATTAAATGACTGTTGGCTGAAACTTGACCCTAGCGGTGCGGCCAAGGAACTATCAGAAGCCGTCTGGTGTGGCCACGGTTGCCATGGTTGCCACGGGGCCTCAGTAATTTAGGTTGGTACATGGGCCCCAGGGAGACTAGCGCTATCTCAGCTCTAGCCTACCTGCGGCAGTTTTAGAGCCGTGCTGTCTCAGCTCTGGCTTCTAATAAAGTCTAGGGCGCACCCAGTCTGGCAAGAAGCGCTCTCGCAGCGCTTGCTTGCTGTAGTCTTCAAGTGTCGCAATGATTGTTTTTCTAGCAACCAATGCTGTCTCAGCTCTGGTGCACAGTCTGAAGCGCTATCTTCGTAGCTCTTCCTAAAACAATTTGCTATCCCAGCAAAAATGCATAACAACATGCAGCGCTGTCGCAGCGCTTCACATGGCGTTTTTTTGTTCCGTCCTGCCCCCCCCAAATATATATATATACATATACATGCATTTAGAAATATTTATTGATTTTACTTTGATTGGCGCAAACCGTCAAGATAGAAGCCGTGATATGAACATTGAAAACATCCTATTTTTCCTTGATAGTTTGAGCCCTTTTTTTTCTGAAAAATACATCAGACTGTCAAAAACTGAAAAGTTAGCCTTCGTGACGAACATTTGAAATGCAACCGCGTGGTCCTTGGTTTTCATACTTCGTACCTTTTTGAAACTTGGTTTTCTAAATACCATGTATGTCATTAAACTAAAAGAGATTCTTCAGCTGGCTCAAGTTCCGATGATGAAAACTTCTAAAAAGAAACATTGAACATGTCATTTTTCATCCCCTCTTCCTTGAAAATATTGTTTTTCAAAGCCAACTTCACTCATTCACTCGGACTTAAGCACCAGCAAGTACTACTACTACTACTACTACCACCACTACTACTACTACTATTACTACTACTACTACTACTACTACGACTACTACGACTACTACTATTACTACGACTACTACGACGACTACTACTACTACTACTACTACTACTACTACTGCTACTGCTACTGCTACTGCTACTGCTACTGCTACTGCTACTACTGCTACTACTACTACTACTACTACTACTACTCCTCCTCCTCCTACTACTACTACTACTGCTACTGCTGCCGGGAGGTGATTTTTTCCATTATGTTTTCCCATTTGGGGACCGGATGTAAAGGTGGCCAAAAGTCATAGTAGCAGCAAGAGGAAAAAGGAGCCAAAAGCATCATTTTCTATCGGTTTCAGAAGTTACGTTAGGCATTTTCTTGGTGCAATTTCGGGGCTTCTCCGTCCTTCAGAGGCATGGTGTTTTGCTGCCGGGAGGTGATTTTTTCCATGGTGTGTTCCCATCCGAGGACCAGCAGCAGCAGCAGCAGCAGCAAAAGCCTCTGCAGCAGCAGGCGGAAAAGGTAGCCAGAATTCATAGCAGCAGCAAGAGGGAAAAAAAGCAGCCAAAAGCATCAATTCATCATCATTTTCTATGGGTTTCAGGAGTTACGTTAGGCATTTTCGAGGTGCAATTTTGGGGCTTCTCCGTCCTTCAGAGGCATGGTGTTTTGCTGCCGGGAGGTGATTTTTTCCATGGTGTTTTCCCATTTGGGGACCGGATGTAAAGGTGGCCAAAAGTCATAGCAGCAGCAAGAGGAAAAAGGAGCCAAAAGCATCATTTTCTATCGGTTTCAGAAGTTACGTTAGGCATTTTCGAGGTGCAATTTTGGGGCTTCTCCGTCCTTCAGAGGCATGGTGTTTTGCTGCCGGGAGGTGATTTTTTCCATGGTGTTTTCCCATTTGGGGACCGGATGTAAAGGTGGCCAAAAGTCATAGCAGCAGCAAGAGGAAAAAGGAGCCAAAAGCATCATTTTCTATCGGTTTCAGAAGTTACGTTAGGCATTTTCGAGGTGCAATTTTGGGGCTTCTCCGTCCTTCAGAGGCATGGTGTTTTGCTGCCGGGAGGTGATTTTTTCCATGGTGTTTTCCCATTTGGGGACCGGATGTAAAGGTGGCCAAAAGTCATAGCAGCAGCAAGAGGAAAAAGGAGCCAAAAGCATCATTTTCTATCGGTTTCAGAAGTTACGTTAGGCATTTTCGGGATCTCATTTTGGGGCTTCTCTGTCCTTCAGAGGCATGGTCTTTTGCTGCCGGGAGGTGATTTTTTCCATGGTGTTTTCCCATTTGGGGGCCGGATGTAAAGGCGGCCAAAAGTCATAGCAGCAGCAAGAGGAAAAAGGAGCCAAAAGCATAATTTTCTACATCATTTTCTATCGGTTTCAGAAGTTACCTTAGGCATTTTCGAGGTGCAATTTTGGGGCTTCTCCGTCCTTCAGAGGCATGGTGTTTTGCTGCCGGGAGTTGATTTTTTCCATGGTGTTCTCCCATTTGGGGACCGGATGTAAAGGTGGCCAAAAGTCAAAGCAGCAGCAAGAGGAAAAAGGAGCCAAAAGCATCATTTTCTACATCATTTTCTATCGGTTTCATAAGTTACGTTAGGCATTTTCGAGGTGCAGTTTTGGGGCTTCTCTGTCCTTCAGAGGCATGGTGTTTTGCTGCCGGGAGGTGATTTTTTCCATGGTGTTTTCCCATTTGGGGACCGAATGTAAAGGTGGCCAAAAGTCATAGCAGCAGCAAGAGGAAAAAGGAGCCAAAAGCATCATTTTCTATCGGTTTCAGAAGTTACGTTAGGCATTTTCGAGGTGCAATTTTGGGGCTTCTCCGTCCTTCAGAGGCATGGTGTTTTGCTGCCGGGAGGTGATTTTTTCCATGGTGTTTTCCCATTTCCGGATGTAAAGGTGGCCAGTCATAGCAGCAGCAAGAGGAAAAAGGAGCCAAAAGCATCATTTTCTATCTGTTTCAGAAGTTACGTTAGGCATTTTCGAGGTGCAATTTTGGGGCTTCTCCGTCCTTCAGAGGCAGAGGCATGGTGTTTTGCTGCCGGGAGGTGATTTTTTCCATGGTGTTTTCCCATTTGGGGACCGGATGTAAAGGTGGCCAAAAGTCATAGCAGCAGCAAGAGGAAAAAGGAGCCAAAAGCATCATTTTCTATCGGTTTCAGAAGTTACGTTAGGCATTTTCGAGGTGCAATTTTGGGGCTTCTCCGTCCTGCAGAGGCATGGTGTTTTGCTGCCGGGAGGTGATTTTTTCCATGGTGTTTTCCCATCCGAAGATCAGCAGCAGCAGCAGCAAAAGTTTCTGCAGCAGCAGGCGGAAAAGGTAGCCAGAATTCATAGCAGCAGCAAGAGGGAAAAAAAGCAGCCAAAAGCATCATTTCATCATCTTTTTCTATGGGTTTCAGAAGTTACGTTAGGCATTTTCGGGATGCCATTTTGGAGCTTCTCCGTCCTTCAGAGGCATGGTGTTTCCCTGTGGGGAGGTGATTTTTTCCATGGTGTTTTCCCATCCGAGGACCAGGTGTGTTCCGATTTGGGGGACGGATGTAAAAGGTAGCCAAAATTCATAGCAGCAGCAAGAGGGAAAAAAAGCAGCCAAAAGCATCATTTCATCATCATTGTCTATGGGTTTCAGAAGTTACGTTAGGCATTTTCGAGGTGCAATTTTGGCGCGTCTCCGTCCTGCAGAGGCATTGTGTTTTGCTGCCGGGAGGTGATTTTTTCCATGGTGTTTTCCCATCCGAAGACCAGCAGCAGCAGCAGCAAAAGTTTCTGCAGCAGCAGGCGGAAAAGGTAGCCAGAATTCATAGCAGCAGCAAGAGGGAAAAAAAGCAGCCAAAAGCATCATTTCATCATCATTTTCTATGGGTTTCAGAAGTTACGCTAGGCATTTTCGAGGTGCAATTTTGGGGCTTCTCCGTCCTTCAGAGGCATGGTGTTTTGCTGCAATCCAACGGTTTCTTTTTTCCGGGGTCGGCGGCAGGGGCGGCAGCCCTTAATATGGATGACTGGTTGGTGGTGACTCAACCATCTTGAAAAATGATGGAGTTCGTCAATGGAGTTGGGATGACAACCCATATATGAAATGGAAAATAAAATTCATGTTCCAAAGATTTCCAAAGCACCAACCAGATCTTTTGTGAACTCTGGTGATTTTTGGTATGCCACTGCCAAAAAGAGACCAACGATCCCATCCCCAGAGACTGAAAATCCCCTTCAAGCTATGGAGGATGAAATATCTTCATGGTGAGTATCCAACCCATGATTCACTCCTCATACGAACATCCCAAAATACTACAGGGGAAATAAAATCGATATTCACCAAGAGGAATTGGAATGGATCTCGAAGCAACTTATGGTGCTTCACACTCTATCTAACCCTAATAGTTTAACAATGAACAAAAATCCAATCTGAATCATCGCTAGCCACTAGGGCAACTATCCTAAATTCTCCGCCCAAAAAGTCAATTTTGGCCATATCTAGCCCAAAATCTAGGTTTTTCCATAGGGATTCTCTTCATTGCCATGGAAATAACCGCAACAAAAACGGGCCACCGAACGCAAGGTGTTGCCCGAGATGGCCACGAAACCTGCAATGCCGCATGCCACAAAACGGTTCCACAAAGAGTGGATTGAAGCACGTAAGAAAAAACAGGATGTTTCATCAACAAGCTATAATCAGGATCTGTTTTTGCATCCAAAAAAACGAGGGTGTATAGAATCAATTTATATCAATTTCATCAGCAATGGTATATAGAATCAGGATCTTTCATCAAAAAAACGAGGGATACTGACAAAAAAAAGAGGATTCAGCAACAAAGATGTGGGTTGAAATGGGTTGAAGCAACATGTGGAAAATTGTGGAAAGCTAAGCATGAAAAAGCGAGTTCACCACAGGGGACTTAATGAAGAATTCTGGATAGGTACATGTGGGATGAACAAACCATCTGTGGTTTAACCATCTATGGACTTGATGGGAAATGGTGGTATTTTTTGAGCAACAATCTATATCTGATTGATTCTGATTGGGGGCTTCAACCTGTGAAATTCAGGTTTCAAAGAACCCTAATTTAGGGTTCATTCCAGGCTTATGTTCATCTGCCAGTCTTAGCACATCCTTCCACATCCAAGTCATCAGGTCATGACTTTGAAAAAATCATGGCGACTTTCAGTTGCTGATCTCCTCTATGACTTACTGCTAAACCCATATATATATAATATCGTTAACATATTAAGTATCAATATTATCTATCAACATTAGCTATCATAAATTATCATTAACTATCATTGAAAACAACACATACCCTCTGGTAATTTAACATAGCTATTGAAAATCACCATTTTTATGGGAAAATCCACTATAAATGGCCATTTTCAATAGCTATGTTAAATTACCAGAGGGTAGATTTTTGCCCATGAAGTCTTGGAACAAACCCCGCCAGTTTTCCTCCGCAGATTCCGCAGACCTTCGGGACACTGCTCCGACGCAAAGGAGGACGCGAACTCCAACTGCTCGTAGCTCATGGGAGTGCCTCGGTAACGCTCGGGCGCCCCGGGTCAAACGCCTTAAACGTTACTTAGCGTTTTCAGTGGGCTAAGGAACTGGTATAACAAGTAGGTTTTTACACAGATATGTATGTATATGTATATATACATTTCGAAAGATTTTCAAGCGGTTTTTCGGAGGATTTATAAATCAACTGATAACTGAGGGGCCACCTTGTATGGTAGATATGGTAGTGAAGAATCCCTATATGACACATAGTTGGGGGGAAACCACCATTTATGTCTGGTTCTTTGGGGTTCCAGGTGGATGTAATTAATGGACACAATCATTCAATGGATAATTAGTAGACTTGATTGAAGCTATGGTGCGGGATATGAATGGATATAATGTCAACCCCGGATTCATAAACCATGGTTTATTAATTAGGGGGGGGTACTCCTCCAATAGTCATTATCTGATACTTAAATGGTACCCTCGAAATTAAACAGCCGTTTGGGGTTTATTAATCCAGGGTTGTCATTAACCACATTGTGGGATAACATGGGAAAAAAATGAACAAAACATGAGATGACCAACCAAAGGGAGATACCTCTTGTTCTGAGATGTCCAGAAATCTGGTAGTTGAGCGGTCAGTCAGGAAGAAACTGATTCCGCGTGAAGATCTGAAAAACTGAGTAACTAATGTCTGTGATGTTCCTTGGTTCATTGGCAATAGTTATAATATGTTATAATATCTAATAACTAACTATTGGCAACAATTATTGTTCCTTGGTTCTGAGTCACTAATATCCCATTTGATATAATGGTCTCTCCCCATTTTGGGCGAACCCAGCAGTGAATAGTTACAGCCTCTGAACTCCCCAAAACATCCCAAAACTACTGGTTGAGGGCTAGAATCTCATGTTGGAATACATGGGATGCTTCATCCACACCATCATTTCTAAGTGATACTCCGGTGTGTGCCATTTTTTGGCTTCCCATCTCCAAGGAGGGCCTCCCAGTCACGTTTGTTGGTTTAAAGCCCCATCTAACAGGTTCAGTAGATAGAAACTCCAAAAAAGTCGAAGAGTGAAATCCTACTACAATATAGCTATAAATCCATGTTCATTCTTTTTGGATGTGACTAAATCCCAATCCCAAGTTCACCCATGTCTTCAACCAACATTAATACCCTATGGAATTTTGAGGGTTTTGTCTTCAACCAACATAAACCTATGGAAATTTGCTGGGATTTCCTATGGTTTTCTGGTGGCCCCTGGCTTTTTCAAAGATCTTCAGTTCCCAGATGCAGTGGTTCTTGCCCTGGAAATTGTAGGACAACCAGGGTTTGGTGCTCAAGGCTAACATCGCTGGCCTTGGAGAAGTGCGGAGTTCGGATTTCGGATTTCGGATGGGATTTGAGTTTGAGTTTGGATGGGATATAGAACCAAAGAAATATTGGAATATATGTACATATTACATATGTGTGTATAATATATATATATAATTATATATAATATTATATGTGTATATATACTGTATACATCTGAGAGATCTCAATCTGGGATAGAGAGATCTCAATCTGGGATACAACAGCGATATGAAAAGGGATATAGAACCATGAAAATATATTGGATTTACTGGATTTACGGATTTACCTTTTTTTTTGTATTTTGACATAGCAGCCTTGGAACATTGCATTTGTTTTTGATAGACAAATCATAAAAGAAAGCAACAATCATGGGTCATTTTCCATAATGTGAGTCATTGCCAGAGGGTAAAAAATTATGTTCAACATCTCGTTGGAGTGACAGTTGCAGCACTGCCAGACTGTCTCAACATATGGGACAAAGGCTGAAGAGTCCCATGGTCAACCACCGAAAACTGTCTGAATGGCAGTTTTGGAGTATCCTGTACGTGTCCGCCTTTATGTCTGGCCGTTTTCAGGAACAAAAAGGTTGTACCTTCCAATATTTTATATGGTTTTCAGGTACATCAATACATTCTGGCGATATACAACAACTATTTAAGCTTTGCTGTGGAGGCGCGGGGCTTTGCAGCTGTGCTCACCAAAGTTGGCTGGTTAAGTCGGGGCCAAAATTCATATGATTCTGTCTGGGGATTGTCAACGCCTGTGTTTCCAGGCATGGATGGAGCACACGATTTGTCTGGGTTTGTCTGAAAAAAGGCCCCTTTTTTGGTCGTCATATTCAGACACATAAAAAAAAATGGGGTGTACATCCAAATAGCTACATCCTTTATGCTACTTTAATAGCTACTTATCCAAAATGGATCAGAATGGGGTGTCATTAAAGTACCACCTGGTTATGACTAACATAGCCATGCAAAGATCCACCATTTTTAATAGGTAAACCATCTATAGATGGGCCATCTATACCATGGCTATGTTAAATAACCAGAGGCTATTTGGATCACACCATTTTCAGACACACCCAGTTGGTGGTTTTGTGGCTGTGATGGCCAAGCAATGCCAAGCGATGCCAGGCGCGCAGCGACCCCCACTGCCGTCCTCCCTGAGTTCCCTCGCATGCCCTGCACTGCCACCTGCAGTTTCTCACCGCACGGCAAGGTTTGTCGAATTTTTCGACGAATGGAATATCAATGGGATCCGGGATATTAATGGTTTGATACTCATAGGATATTAACGGATATACAATGAATGGAATGATTTACCCTCCGGTGTCATCAAGCATGGCAGTGGGTACTGATAAATGGAGGTTTTGTATAATAGTAATTAATGGGGAAATAGTCTATATATGGTTGATTTTCGCCATGTTTCAACATGGCTTATCATAATTTTCCCCATTTTTCAATGGCAATCTTGTCGCATCACCTAGTAAAGACACACCCTTTTGATGGTATTGGGGGTTAAGGGAAAAGTCTGTATTCACTCACCAAATATCAAGTATATATATCCAATACTTGGATTCTACCAACAACAATGTGGCTTTACGCGACGAAAATTGATCACCAACATCTATGAAGGGTTCACCAAAATGGTTATAACATATATATATATATACATATAATATATATATATATATATACATATATATATATGTGATAATATGATAATATTAAATATATTAAGAAAAAATGATCCATTCCGGTCGGCCAATCCATATAATACTATATAATACATACTATATAATACATACTGTATAGTACTATATAATACATCCTGTATAATACTATATATATAATACATACTATATAATACTATATAATACATACTATATAATGCTATATAATACATACTATATAATACTCTATATAATACTCTATGTAATACTCTATATTAATACTCTATTTAATAATATATATATAATACTCTATATAATACTCTATTTAATACTCTATATAATACTCTTTAAAATGCTATATAATACTATATATAAGTTACCCCCCATAAACCCTGCTGTCCAATTCATTATAAACTAACTTAGCTGCTTACAAGCCAAAATATCCCATTCATTGTTGAATCATCATCCATTGCCATTTTTTGCTGCGTCTGAAAGCTCAAACTGGCCAGTTTTTGTTGTGGAATCAATTACCAAACCACCATTCTGGATGATTAAATCCCAAATTTGGCTTTAGATGGTTTTAGTGCTTTTGCTCAAGACCATAATATCCACACTCATGAAATTTCTTGAACCAGCACCATTAACAAAACCACCAAGCATGGGAAATCGTAGTCAACTCCCTCAAAATTCATGGATTTATATATGGATGTTACAGATGTTCACAGATTTCACATCACTATAATCCATATAAATCCATATGTCATATGGCACTAAGCTAAAGGTCTCACAAGTGAACCGTGGAGTTCCACAATTCATTCTAAATCCATATAAATCATCCTCTAAAAATCCACAGATTCACATCACTATAAATCCCAATAAATCCATAAAATTCCGTATAAATCATCATCAATCATCACCAACATCCCCAAAAATCTTCTCCGACTTTCCATCAAAATCCCAAAAAATCCATAAAAATCATCCATAAAAATCCCCAAAAATCCCACAGATTTCCACAGATTCTTCTCCAACTTGGCGCCTTGTGAAGCCTCACCGCCTTGGCGCCCAGAAACCTCGAGCGCTGGTCGCTCAAGGTACCGGTGACCTGGCGATCCGAGTCGATCGAGTCGAAGACGGTGGAAAAAGATAGGAAAACTCTGGGAAAAACATGGAAACCAAAACCATCGTTGTTTAGATCGAAAACTGCGGGACACAGAAAAATAATATGAAAAATATGGGGAAACATCGTGAAATCCTGAAAAAAATACGTTTTGTCAACAAAAAAAAAGTCATTTCGTTTGATTTATTGGACAAAATGTGATACTGCGATGCCAAAAGCCTGGGCATTGTTAATCCATAACCCCTACCTTAAGGGTCCCCAGAGTGGTCCCCCACCTACATTAATAAAAGTATTAGTCCAAGGGTCCCTACTTCTTCAAGGTACCTCTATTAATTTGTTCGGCGGCACTTTCCCCCCACCTAGATGTAAAAAATGGTTCTCTTCCCACCAACTAAATTAACTTCAGACAAAATTATTCAAGAGTGGGGGATCTACCATTTCTTCTTGGGTTAAGGGGACCCCAAATAATTTCTTCTAATTAATTGGGGTGTGGTTAGTTAGCTAAATTATTCGAGGTAGGGGTGAAGGTATCCAAAGTTTCAGGAACATATGGCCCCCAATGAGGCCAGCCAAGCCCATACGCATGCAAGAAATTAAGGCAGTCTCTTCGGATTCAAACCATGGGGCCCCAAACCAGTACACCCACCCCCAAATTAATTTTACGCGTGGCCACCCAAGCTGGAAAAAGGGAAAGACTTTGTTGGCGCAAAAAGAAGTGGATTGCGTGTTTATTTATTCGCGATAATTTTAAATGGGTCTTCAATTCTCATTGCACACAATCAAAAAGATTCTGTTCCAAACGCATCTTCTTACTTGTAAATGCCACCCAGTTAGATTTAGTGTCATTACAATCACTGGGTCCTGTACTAGTACACCCACCCCCAAAATCAATTTTACGCGTGGCCACGCGAGCTGGGAAAAAGGAACAACTTTGTTGGCGCAAAAAGAAATAGATTGGGTGTGTATTTGTTCGTGAGGATTTTTTCTGTTTTTTCAATTCTCATTGCGCACAATCAATAAGATTCTGTTCCAAACGCATCTTCTTACTTGTAAATGCCACCCAGTTAGATTTAGTGTCATTAATAATCCAAGTTTGGTTGAGCTGACATGAGCTGTTTGACGAAACATTGCCAAATTAATTCGAGGTGGCCCACTCTCATTCTCAAGCATTCAGACTAAATTATGTTGGGTACCCCTAACTTAAATTAATCCTTGAACAATAGAGTTCTCGAAAAAAACAACCAAATCAAAATTAATCGAAAAACTAAATTGGATAACCAAAGGTCCACCTGGATTATTTTTTAAGGTAGGGGCTATGTCTGTTAAATCCCTTAACAACCATAATTAACCAAGAGGCTTAACGCATGTTGAAGCAACATAAAGCAACTGTTAAAGCAACCAGTATTTCTGTTGGATCATAAAAGACTTCGTAAGTGGTTCATTCATTTATGTGCAGCTCATACAAAAATTGCTCAAGAATTACATGACGGTCACAAATACTGACGGTGTCTCAGTTTTATCAAGAAACTGAGTGAAACCTATTGAGGTTGCAAACACCAGTCGAGTCTAGCTCCGAAACCCCCAAACTGGTCAGCGTTGACCCATTCCAAGGCATAACAAAGGTGAAGCATCAAATGGAATGGCAGATTGATTTGGAGGTTACCCGAAGTGCACACTACAAAACCAATTCCGAACATATCCTCAAAGTTGTCGCTTGGGCCGAACCCTCGCTCATTTTCAACAGATGAAACTCAGTCTGTTGGTAGCTACCGCAACCTTGGATATACCCCACAATAAACCAAAATAAACACCAGGTGGCGATATCCCTTCAATGGCGTCTCACAGCGAACCAAAGTCTTAAGCCGTTCACCCTGTTTTGATCAACCATGCAGTTATTCAATTAAATCCGATCATTAAGGTTCACCCAGTCTTGTGAGCTGGGTATGTTTTCAATCAAATATGGCCTTCCCAAATTGGATGGTTCAGAACGGGTTTCATAACAATTCATGGATTGTGTATCAATCATCCCCGATAATTTCAGTCAAGCAATGTCATAAACCAGCCATATGGATTGATGGTTTAGCCACCCATAAATATTGTCAAATTGGGGATGGTAGATCCTATTGTTCTACCAACATTATATGGTTGTGAGCCAAAACCCTGGCACGCTAGGTACCCTAAAGCATCTGGTATAGCTGGATGTTTATTCCCAGTCATATGGTAATTTCAATAGGTTTGACATGGTTTGACCCATTCCCATATAGGGGGGGTTCCATAAATGGATATAAATCAAGCTCGCTGGATGTTTTATAATGGAGAATCAATCTATAAATGGATGATGACTGGGGGTACCCCCATGACTTAGGAAAGCTCCATATGGATATTTTGTCCTATAACCCCGCAATGAATCCTCGACATCCGATCCGAGCCACAAAATCCACCACCGAACGGATCAAAATGCCACTACCTTGGTGGGCCGGCATAATTTTTCGGCCATCTTCGTGGTGATGTCTGAAGCAACAAATCAGGGTTTCAACATAGATCAAAATGGTCTGGTTGGAAAAAGCTATTGAAAATTGCCATTTATAGTGGATTTACCCATTAAATATGGTATATCACCTGGTTGGTGGGTGACCTACCCCTCTGAAAAATGATGGAGTGAACGTCAGTTGGGATGATGACATTCCCAATATATGGAAAGTCATAAAACTCATGTTCCAAACCACCAACCAGTTTATGATGATTGCAGACAAAACATGTCCAACTTGTTTGGGTTCCATGCTGGCTTGCGGGGTACGTTCTGGTGGCAAGCGATGTAGCGATTGCAAGCGGCTAAAATATATGATTTGCCAGAAGCTTTTGACAGGACCTTGGACTTCTATACAGTTGCTGCGTCTGCCACTGAATCTCCATATCGCTAAAAAAGCAGAGGACTGGTGCCAAGTCACTCAAACCGATGCTCAAGAACAAGCTGTGAACATCCTGCGGGATGGGCAAGGCCAGTTGTAACAGTGTTTCTTCCCATGAAACGTTCAAAAAATACATCAAATTAGTAAATAAGCCTAGTCAGTGGTCGGTCTCCGTAAAATTCCTTCTAAGCCACTGGAAGATAAGCACTATGCAGAAACAGCAGACACGTCGGGACACTTCGCACGCCCACCAAGCTGCAAGAGCGAATTTTGACAGCCATCTATCTATCTGTCCATCTATCTATCTGCCTATCTCTCCACCCACCTATCTCTCCACCCACCCACCCACCCACCCATCCATCCACCCATCCATCCATCCATCCATTCATCCATCAGTCTAAATCTATCTACATCTATCTAAATCTATCTACATCTATCTAAATCTATCTAATTTTATCTATATCAATTTCTAATTCTATATCTATATCTATCGATCTATCTCTCTGTCTATCCATCTCTCTATCTGCCTATCTGTCTCTCTATCTAAAGATGATCTGGAGAACTGAAGTTGAGGATGGATTTGACCCTTAAAAAATGTGTCCTTTTGAGAAAAAATGAGAAACTGAAACGCATATTTTGGTATACACATATTATAGATTGTTGTAGAATAATGCTTTTAATGATTGGATGATCTTCAGAAGTCACCTCGCCAAGCAAACAATGAACACAATGAACATCCAACAAAATCCAGCCAATAGAATGGTGAACGTCCAAAATAGGCACAAAACTCACTTGAATAGATTATGTTCGGAAGTCAACCCATCTAGTAGTTGTCTTTCCACTTTGTCCAAGTTTCACCAACCGTTTCTGTTTACTTTTTCTGTCTATGTGTCTGGTTAGCAGTTTCAAACCCTCTAAACATAGTAATTTGGAATCAGCATCCCAGGCAAGAATATTCAAAAACAACATGTTCTAACCAAAAGCCAGTTGCATTATGTCTATATATATATTATATTATATTATATTATAGTGCTCATATACAAATATATACTTTCGAGTGCATCGTAACCCTAGGGATGTGGGAAAAAAATCAAAGTTGGGTGTCACCTACCAACACAGATGATCAGGTTGGGACTTGGCATCACTGATTCTGGGATATCCAAAGAGGCTGGACTCACAAACCACAAAGAGCTGTACAGCCAATAAATGATATCTTCCAAGATACCAATGATGAAGTGTTGTTAATACTTAATATATAATTCATTATGGGTGTAAAATAGTTTTTTTGTGTTGCCTCAGGTTTGGGACTTTTTTTTGGCTTTCTTTCCCGGTACCATTTGCCTTGTATTTGCAACAGTTTGGAACTAGAACCTGTCGTTTTGCATGGTATTTGCTACATTTTGGCATGGTAACTTTGCATTTTCCATGGTATTTGCTATATTTGGCCATGTTTGCCTTCCATTTTGCATGGTATTTGTCATATTTTGGCATTTCAACCTCTCATTTGCATTTTGGTGCTTCAAACGTTCATGTGGGTCTCTTGAGGGTTCTTTAGGCTTTCATTTAGGGTTTCATTTAAGGTTCATTTAGGGTTTTATTTAGGGCTTCATTTGGGGTTTCATTTAGGGTTTCTTTAGGGTTCGGGTTTCTTTAGAGTTTCATTGAGGGTTTTTTCCGGTTTCATGTAGGGTCTCTTATCAGGATTTTTTATCAGGAGTTCAAAACGTTCAAATGGGTTTCTCTAGCGCTTCTTTAGGGTTTCATTTAGGGTTTCTTTAGGGTTTCAGTTTGGGTTTCATTTAGGGTCGAGGCTTACCGATCACAGCATGTCGACCTTGACAGCTGTGGCCTCGTAAATGGGAAGGCTAAGACATGCTAAGACATCCTAATCACCAGTTAGTGGCTTCAATCCATCAGCTAGTTCGATGATTTCCCAGTAAATCCCATTGAATTCCATGAAAACCGGAAGTTAGTCGTCCTCTGCCTGACCCAGATTCTTCATCTCCAACAGACAGACACTTTCCGCCGGAGACTGCAAGGCCTCACCAAAGAGATACTGCTTGGTGGTGACTTAACCATCTTGAAAAATGTTAGTCCTTGGGAAGGATTGCCCTCTGGTAAATTAACATAGACCCTGGCAGATAGGGGTTGGAAGATTAGTTTCCATTACAAATTGGTGATTTCCAAGGTCTATGTTTATTTACCATAGGGTAACCCATATATATATATATATATCCATATTGTTATGGAAAATAAAAAATGTTTGAAACCACCAGGATAGGACCCTGGTTGCGCTTCTGATATCTTCGATCTGGGAGGAGTGGTCATGATGCAGTTGCAAACCATGGCTGTCATAAAGGACCCCCCCAAAAAAAAACAGGTTGGTGGTTGACCTACCCCTCTGAAAAATATAAGTTCGTCAGTTGGGATGATAACATTCCCACTATATGGAAAGTCATAAAACTCATGTTCCAAACCACCAACCAGAAAATCTTGGAGTCAATGTGTTTTTCAAACATGTCCAGGCGCATAAATCTTGAGACGGAATCGTAGCATCATCGTCTTGAGAACTCCGGAACTCCGGGACGGATTGGGATGATCCGATGGTACTTGGAGCAGCATCTAACTCGATGGAACTTTCGTAAATGGCACAAGTACAGGAATCAGAGACCAACAAAAATCTGATTGGTGGTTTCAATCCCTCTGAAAAATATTAGTCAATTGGGATTATGGGAAAATAAAAAATGTTCCAAACCACCAACCAGCACAAGTACAGGAATCAGGGACCAACAAAAAATGGAATGACCCCCAAAAATGGATGCTTTGCTATGTGGTTAAGTGAGAAGGAGCCTCCACTGGCTTTAACTCCGACCCTAAAAAATCCGACCGTGTAGTTCTAGTTGCTATTCACCAGCTACATCCAGCTAGTGGAAAGTCCACACTCCACACTTTACATTCCACACTTTACACTCTACATTTTACGCTCTACACTCTATACTCCACACCTTAAACTTTACACTGTACACTCCTCACTCCACACTATACACTCCACACTTTACACTCCACACTCTACACTCTACACTTTACACTCCACCCTCTTCCGCATTCCACAGTCTACAGTGCACTGGTACGGTAACAGGGGAAAAATGTAGACTGTTCAAATGACTTGTTTCACAATAGTGTTCTACGTGACTGCATTCGAGTTCGTGGGCTGCATCTTGTTTATGTGTTCAACAGGCAACCATAACTTGACCGACACAAATCGCCTAGAAATGATTGTAGAATTTCCAACTCAGAAAAGTTTGGCCTTGGGTTTGTGGTCTTCTGAATTGAAAATCAATTAGATTGGGTAAAAACAGAAATGTTTCACCTTTGGTTGATCTTCCCAAAAATCCAAAAATCAAACACATCGAAGATCATCGAACAGCAGTTCAAAAACAATTTCAAACATCCTTTCCGGATCATTGTTTTCCAAAAAAAGTCCTAACCATTTTCAGTTCTCCAGGTCATTTTCCCTCTTTTCCCTCGGCGTCCACCTGTGCACTGAGCTGTTTCAGGGGTCGTTCCCGCTCCAAGGAGAGGATGCGGATGGTGTTGTCCACCCCTGCCGCGAAGGCGGGACTTTGGGAATTTCCATCGGAGATGGGATTTTTTTATATTTTTTTCAGGTTTTTTTTCATGAGGAATGAGAATCTCATGGGATATCACTGTGATGAAAAAAAACGACCACAAAGGCAAGTGGGGGTATAATGGTTGATCTATATATTTATGTCTGATTGGTGGTTTCATGTGAAATATATGCTTGGAAAATTGAGGATCAATCAAAATATGATCATATGGTTGAAAATCAAAGATACCGGAAATCACCAACCAGGTTTGCACATTCCCTGTGACTCCTAGCACATCATGATGAGATGTCGAGGTATCTCAAAGCTATACTATTCCACATTAAGATGATGAAACCAAATACCAGATGAACATCAGACATCATCAATCCAAATAAATATCACTGTGCAGTGTCTCGACTTTAAACCTTAAGAATGTTGACCCACCTCTCGCCCACCCCTCGGTATCATGTCACTTTTAAAAAGGCGCTGAAGCAAAGTCGAGTGGCTTGTCATCTTGACATGGCCTGACTCTGGTCTCCCCGTGCCACCAAGGTGCCAAAAAAAAAACAGAGGGACAACACCAGCTGTTCCGTAATTGGAGGGTCCCAGCTATTCCACCAGCAATGTTGCCACCATCATTTGATGTGGGAAAAAATTCCAGGGACCATATTAGTATATGTCAGCTATATCCCCAGTTCATGGTGGTTATATCTCCATTTTAATAGTTGCTGATTCACCATGACAGTTGACAGTATCCAACATTGACTACCTCCCCAAGTCTTGCTACTAATCCCTTCCCCATGATAGTAAATACCCCCTCAGAAACCCTGCTTTAGTATCATTGGATCTATTTATTCCAGGGCCATACCAAAAATCTAACATTAGCGGGGATGGGAGTACCAAGGAGTACCCGCGCTCCTTAATCACTCCTTCAACGGTCACTTGTAACACACCACAGGCCCTCCACTCCCTTTGGGAGAGACATTAGCGGGGCACAGGTACACGGCGAGCGGTAAATCATCGCAGCAGGGAAGTTTGGATGTTCGCAATTTCACCGTGAACCGTGCACTTGCAACATTCAACATTCTCCAAAGTTCAAACAATGGATATGCAAAATAGCTTTATCAGAAATAGTTATTTAGATACCTCTAATGACTGCATTTATCATAGTGTCTTGAAGAATCAATGACTTTATCGCCAGCTTCTGGTGAAGGCTGAACAGCCGAACCAGCCTCTGCCGGGGAAAATTACGCAGCCCGCCGCAGGGTCCGCAGGGTCATCGGCCATAAACCGAGCGGACTCGGGATGGTTTACGGCATTGGGTTTACCAGGTTTACCACAAAAAAAAGCCCGTCAACGAAACCAGCAGCCATTCAGTCCTTCAAAAAACATGGGTATTTCCTGACCTACATACTCAATACATATATATATATATAGCATTATATAGGGGTTTCCAAAATATGGTGGTACCCCCAAGTCATCCATTCATAGATGGATTTTCCATCACAAACCATCCAGCGAGCTTGGGGTATCCCCATTTATGGAAAACCCCCATATGAGAATAAGTAAGTTAATGGAATTTATACTTATGGCAAATCCCTATTTATGGAAAATCCTCATTTATGGTATAAACCCCATATACCATATGCCATAAATACTTAAGTAAGTTAATTCAACGTCGATTCCATTCTATTCCTATGCTCTTAGTGTTCATGTGCCCTGCCGGGTCCGATCCACCAACCCTCTCTGGGGATGTTTTTTGGCCTCACCTCTGGTAGGAATCCATGGGTTTTGGTACTTGGTTGGAAAAGGTGGACAAATTGTACCCCAAAGTGCTAACAGATTTCATGATTTCATGGCCTATTTGTTCAAATGAAAATCTGTGGCTCCTGGCCTCTCCCCAACCACTGTCCATCGATGACAATCTTCATGGCAATCCATGACTGTCCACGGTGAAATTGCCGAAAAAAACAATGTTTTGCTGTGGCATTGAAAACCTCTCAAAGCAATATGTTGATTTAACTATAGATATATAAATTAGATGTAGATTCGATTAAGTTTTAGATTTGATCAGATAGATAGGTAAATCAGTATACATCACATATGTTTAATAATGTTGTTGCTTTCCGAAGTCAAGGTTGTCAAGGGGAGCCAATGTAATAGCTACAACCCAGGTCAATTGGAGCCTTTCGATATGGATTGGTTCTTGGAAACTGGCTGGTTGTTGGTTGTTGCTTGTTGCAAAAAAATCTGGCGCCAACAGTTTTTGCGTACACCCAATGCAGAAAAAAAGGTTTGTGAATGACCAGTTGCGCCAAATGGTTTTGAGGCCGGTGCCATTCTTCTGACCGCAATTTCATGGTGTTCTAGTTGTTTTTGAATGGTTCCCGTAATGGAACTGCGAATTCAACATAGTTATCATATGTTATCATGGGTATAAAGAAAATACTATGGTAAATACCACACTTCTTTGCACAAGTGTCTTGGATGCAGTAAACAGCCACGCTTCATATGTCTTGAATGTCTTGTCGCTTAAATTCCCATTTTCGTTGTTGAAATACAAGTCCTCATTACATCCCCAGAATTCTAATACTTGGTCATTGAATCAATTTCTTGTTGCTATAGCATCTGCAAAAAATACCTGGTTATATCTGAGTACTCCTACATCCAGTTGTTCATCATCATCTCGACTACAAACAATTGACGTAGCTTCAAGATAATGAATCATTTTGAGACAGACCCATCCTATCAGTGATATTTCATTGTGTTGGTGAAGTCCCATTTCAACCCATCATATCCCTGTGTTCTACCGTATATACCCATTATATCCAGACTTTAGACGGTTTTTGGGCTAAACTGTTAAGGTAACCATGTTATCCGGCTGATATCAAACAAGAGTTCAATTCACTAACCAGAAAATAGTTGTTGTCACACGGCCGACGACTGGGTAATGATTCAACTTACTCATGATTCCACTGACGTGGAAAAGATGAGGTCATTGTAATCTATTCTAATTCATCCAAATATAGTTCATTATATCACCATGAAATTTCCATATTTGCTAGGTAAATCCCATAAGATTACCATGATATCTATCCCATTAAATCCATATAATATTGTTGATGGCTAGATCACCATCAAATCACCATATGTTTTGGCTAAATCCCCATTAAATCACCATGTTTCTTGGCTAAGTCCCCATTAAATCACCATGTTTCTTGATTCAATTGCAGTAGAATCACCATGTTTTTCTTGGCTACCCTCTGGTAATTTAACATAGCTATGGAAAATCACCATATTTAATGGGAAAAACCACTATAAAATGGCCATTTTCAATAGCTATGTTAATTTACCAGAGGGTAAATTCATTGAAATGATGCCATGAAAAATCACCATTTCTCCGAAATCCCAAATCGCCCTCGGCCATAGCTCGGCTAAACGATGCCCAGCTGAGTCCTCAAGCGACAGAGTTTCTGGTCCTCCGCGTTGGGCAGGTGCACGTCCTCGGATGACCAACGACTGTCGTACAGAGGTGACGAACTAAATAGATGACATATATTTATATGTGTTTGACAATATACTATTAATATATATGGTTAATATATGGTTAATATATTTATCATCTGGTTGGTGGGGTAGGTCAACCCCAACCGAAAACCACCAACTTTTTAGTGGGTAAATCAACTATAAATGGTTATTTTCAATAGCTATGTTCAATAGCTATGTGTGTTTGACACTATATAACATACCATTGGTTGGTAATATACTATTAATATTAATTGTTAATATGAATGGGTAATTTGAGCTAGCACATACTCACTGGTTTTATCACTATATCTGGTTGGTGGTTGACCTACCCCTCTGAAAAATGATGGAGTGAACGTCAGTTGGGATGATGACATTCCCAATATATGGAAAAAAATGTTCCAAATCACCAAGGAGATACTGGTTGATTTATAATCATATATCTATAAATAGATGAGTTATATATAGATATTCGATTACATATGTGTACTAGATATATGAGTTATATATAGATATTTGATGACATATTTATCTGGTTGGTTGTGCAATAACCATCTTGAAAAATATGAGTTCGTCAATGGGAAGGATGACATCCCATATATGAAATGGAAAAAAAAAAACATGTTCCAAAGCACCGACCAGTTATATGTGTTTGACACTATATATATCTAGTACACATCATATCTATTGTATGTGACAGATTTTTGTGTCATCAAATATATGTATTTCAATGTGATCAGAATGACTAACAAGAGTTAAGAATGGTTAATGTTAACTTATACCAACCTTAACCATTCGCCTTTTTAATGTTAAACTAACATTAACCATTTCAATGCTAGGGGTTAAGAATGGCTAATGTTAACTTACATCAACATGAGCTTATGTGGTGGCCTGGGTTGGTGATTTGGGGGTTAACAATTAACAATGCTTGATGTTCAATAAATAATCGTCAACCCCCCAAAAAATAATCATGAATGATAGTTGATGATAGCTAATGATACTTAATAATAGTTAACGGTATTTAAAGATAGGTTAATGACAGTTAATTATAGTTAATGATAGGAAATAATAGTTAATGAAAGAGAATGAAAGTTATTGATAGATAGTTAATGATAGTGAATGATAGTTAATGATAGAGAATGATAGGAAATTATAGTTAGTGAAAGATAATGATAGTTATTGATAGATAATGATAGTTAATGATAGTTCATGATAGTCAATGATGGATAGTTATTAATGGTTAATGGTAGTAATGATGAATGATGTCGACATCAGAATGATTAAACACGGGTTGATAATGGTTGATGTTCACATATGTATAATTAAATATGATATATGATATATGATATATGATATATCATATATGATATATGATTATGATTATATGATATATATATATATGTTAATGATCATGTACATGTCATAGTAGTGATCTAATTCACATCCCCATTTCACTGCGAACTCCTGATCTGTGCTGATTGCTCCTTCAATATGTTCGTTTTCCGAGGCTCGCTGGATAAGAATCCCGCGTCGTTTTCCTGCTTCCTCGCCAGCAGCTTAGGCTTTTCGTCCCACCTGGGGTTATTTTCGGTGAGGCATCGACCATCGAAGATGGAAAGGAGGTAGAAGCAACAAGAAACACTCCAACGAATATCCAATGGGTAGAAAAATAAACCTGTGATATCCGGATTGATATCATAATAGATCCTCATATTAGTGTGGTTTCATGGCGGCAGTGTATTTTATAGCATGGTTTCTGGGAGGAGTAAGAAAATGGTTCTTAGAAAAAAAAAACAAAAAAACTCCGAACATTCCCTTAAAAGAATATCTGAAGCCCTTCCCCCTAAAAGTTTTTAGGCCCAGCCAGAGTCCCAACAGCCAGGGAAGTCACAACCGCCAGGACGCTGATGCGCCAGTAGACTAGCGCCAGGTTAGTTGAACATGGAGAAAAATCATGCTCCCTACATAGAGATAGGTGAACAAATTGATATGATAGATGGCAAACTAGCATCAATTAACTATCATTAACTATCCTTAACTATCCTTATAACTTATAGCTATCATTAACTATCATTCACTATCATTAACTAAGGATTTCCTGCTGGTGATGCTCCTGTCCTTGTCAAACTCGAGCTGTGGTTTGTCCATTTGGAGCATCCAAAGCCATAGATTCCGAGCGTGGGCTAGTTTTGGCTAGCTGCTAGCTGTGTGGTTCAAATGTTTGATACCATAAATTTTACCCATTAAAAATGGTGGATCTTTCCATAGTTATGTGGCTGTTTACCAGAGGGTATATAAGGTTATTATCATTACTGTACTAGACCACAGTCCCTGGTTGGTGGTTGACCTACCCCTCTGAAAAATATGGAAAGTCAATGGGAAGGATTCTCCCATATATAATGGAAAAACAAATGTTTGAAACCCATTATTCCAATATATGGAAAAATCAAACATGTTTGAAACCACCAACCAGATACGTATAAATTTCGCCGGTGAGAATGGAATAATTTGAGTCAGCTAAATATCCTGCCGGAAGCCCCTTGCAGTTTATCCCCATGTTTGTTGACCCCCTCCAGTCTTTAGGACTTTAGGATACTTTCGGCCATCGGCCATGTCTGGTGTAAACCCCATTGCCATGGACATCTACAAATTCAGTTCCCTATGGTTGGTGATTTCCGCCATTTCTAGCATCTATCATTCTCCACCTGGCCTCCAAGGTTCAATGAGCTGTAGAGCGCCTGCACCCGGTGCTTTCAGCCGTTTAGATGTCACAAGTAGGTGGCGGTGATTAAGACATGGGCAATTCAGCGCACCGAAAGAATACTCATGGGACTTTCACCGAGAAAAAATTGGACCCAAAACAAACAAATTGGTGATTGACCTACAAAAAAGATCAAAAAGGTTGTAGTTTTTTTTGGGAGTGTCTCTTGAAAAAACACAACCATCACCGAGGAAAACATGACGCCGAAAATCTGGCAAATACAAGCGATATGAATCTATGAAAAGTGTTTTTTTTCTAGCAAAAGTGGGTGTCTTTACCGATGAATCAGGTGTTGAGATCCCATGATGACCATGATTTGTCCACCACAAAATAGGACGACAAAACGCAAATTGAAAGTCAACCCTTGGGGGGTTCAGCAATCAAAATACAATATTACTGATGCATGTACTTCAATTACATAACCAGCAAACAACGGTGATTCATTTCTCCAACCAAATATCGAACTCGTGGTTTTCCAATGTGAAGGCCGCAACTATTTGGGTTGTACCACCTATCTTGGGCATAAAGCACAACTCTACAGTATCTCTAGACATTTCGAAGTGAAATGCATGTCCCCAAGGAGTCTGCCCTTTTGTTCAGGGCGCTGGGTCGTGCAAACACAACAAAGAAAACACCCCCAGCATCAACTGTTGCGGGCACTTGGCGCAGTAGGCCTTGTGCTGATTTACATGTTTGACACCAGTTTCCCTTGTTTAGTTCCCCACGTCTTGGTATGGGGTTCTTGTTTTTGCTTCTGCACTCCCACCTCCGGCCCTCCTCCTCCTGCCTCCTCCTCCTACAACTTGCCCACACACAACTTGTCCACACACAATTTGCTCACACACAACTTGTCCACACACAACTTGCTCACACACAACTTGTCCACACACAATTTGCTCACACACAACTTGTCCACACACAATTTGCTCACACACAACTTGTCCACACACAATTTGCTCACACACAACTTGTCCACACACAACTTGCTCACACACAACTTGCTCACACACAACCTGCTCGCACACAACTTCTTCACACACAACTTGTCCACAAACAACTTGCTCACACACAACTTGCTCACACACAACTTGTCAACACACAACTTGTCCTCACACAGCTTGTCCACACACACACACCCTACACCTTGCCCACACACACAACTTGTCCACACACAATTTGCTCACACACAACTTGTCCACACACAACTTGCTCACACACAACTTGCCCACACACAACTTGCTCACACACAACTTGCTCACACACAACTTCTCCACACAACTTGTGCGCACACAACTTGACATTCACCTTCACTTTGCGTGGCAGGCGTGGCACTGATGGCGCTGGCGCGCTTCGTTCCCAGATGACGCCGTGGACGCCGCGGCTTTTTGCGTGGCAGGCAAGGCACTCGGCGACATGGACGTGCATCCTGCGTGGCAGGCGTGGGACTTGGTGACATCGACCGTCACTTTGCGTGGCAGGCGTGGCACTGATGGCATTGGACTGGCTCTGGTGGCGCGCTTGGTTCCCAGATGATGCCGTGGACGCCACGGCTTTTTGCGTGGCAGGCAAGGCACTCGGCGACATGGACGTGCATCCTGCGTGGCAGGCGTGGGACTTGGTGACATCGACCGTCACTTTGCGTGGCAGGCGTGGCACTGATGGCACTGGACTGGCTCTGGTGGCGTGCTTGGTTCCCAAATGACGCCGTGGACGCCGCGGCTCTTTGCATGGCAGGCATGGCACTTGGCGACATCGACGTGCATCCTGCGTGGCAGGCGTGGGACTTGGTGACATCGACCGTCACTTTGCGTCAGGCGTGGCACTGATGGCACTGGGCTGGCTCTGGTGGCGCGCTTGGTTCCCAGATGACTTGGCGACATCGACGTGTATCCTGCGTGGCAGGCGTGGGACTTGGTGACATCTACCTTCGTTTCAGGTGGCAGGCGTGGCACTTCTGGCACTTCTGGCACTGGGCTGGTTTTAGTGGCACGCTTGTCCACACACACCTTGTCCACACACAACTTGTCACAACCTGTCCACACAACTTGTCGACATACATTTGTTGCACATGCCAATCCTTCACCATCTCTTTTCTCTTTCCCGCATTTCCCATCCCATCTTTACCTTTCTTTTGCCAGTTATTGGAAGAAGTTGACATGTGGGGTTATCCGGTCCTTTAATTTTTTTTTGGTGCATGTTTCTGTTCCAACTGTGTTGTGTGGACTAGCTTCCCGGTTGCTTGCACGTCCCCTGGTGTTGAATATGTCCCAAATGTTCTTGGTTGCATATATACTTGCATATCCATCATACCCCATCCTTGTTGATAACACGCCCCTGTGTTAACGTCATCTTCACCAGTTTCGTTTTTACAATCAGACCATTCAGAATGGCCTTAATACCTACTTCGCTGGGTCACTTCATCGGCAGCTTAATACTCCCAAGGAGGTCACTTCACAGCAGCTTTACGCTGGTTTTTCGGTCATTCACATCATGGTACCACCTGAAAAAATACACGACATGTACCATTCCCTAGTGGTTGGTTTCCATCACAGGCCCAGAATTTTTCGCCATATGTCATCCTCAATCTTTTAACACGAGTTTATGTGTTTCTGCGCATTTTTTTAGTCTCCGAATATGGAAACAACACATCGCTGCCCTCTGGTAATTCAACATGGCTATGGAAAATGGCTCAATTTAGAGGCTTACCTACCAAACATGATGGTTTTTCATAGCTATGTTGGTTATGTGTATATATATATATATGTATACACGTATACGTGGCAGGCTCTATATTATTGTTTAGGTGCGGCGTCCCTTGTAAGTTAGGACGTCCCCTATCGGCCCTATCGTTATGCTTATATATCCATTAACCTATATATATATGCATTATATAACATTATCTATCCATTATCTATCCATTATATATCCATTATGTTTAATCCCCGCTATCTCCCCATGAACATATCCCCGACAATAGATGATCATGAATCATGTTGAATCCCACCTGACTGCAGTGTCAGCGGAGTGGCCTTGGCAGCGGTCACCTTCATGGAAATGGTCGTGTTTTTTTTGTAGTTTCATGGGGAAAATGGTTACCCTCTGGTAAACTAACATAGCTATGGAAAATCACAATTTTCAATGGGGAAATTCACTATAAATGGTGATTTTCCATAGCTATGTTCGTTTACCAGAGGGTATGCGAAATGACGTGGTTTAATAATGAATCTTTGTTTTTTAATGGTAAGCTGGTAAGTAAGATGTGCCATATCTTCCCAGTTTCTGGATATTCGAATTTCCATTTAAAACATGTTAATGTAAATAAAGGCATGTCCGGAACTGAAACCATAATTTCAACGTTGTAAATGAGATCCACTGGATGTACAAAAGTGGCTCCAATGGGGTAGCATCTGTGGGTTTGTAACCCCCAGTAAGTACTCTCTGGCAAGTTGGGAAATCCCTATAACTGGGAAAATCATTTGTAAACGGAGGATTTTTCAGCACACCATGTTTGATTACCACAGGGTAACAAGTTCGATATATCATGATATATCTACCAAAAAACATAAAGGGGGTTATAAACTACTTCACATCATATATCTACAGAATTCTACAGATAAATATCTTATTAAATGGTGATATCATATTTACCATAAACCACAAGTTCAATCTCAGCTCCTGCCAGCTTGACAGCATAGCAGCCATCCCTCGGCCAGGGCCCTTTGAGGTTCCGACGGTGCCCTTGGAGAGTTTCGGCACCAAAGTCAACTCATGGCCGTCGAAAATGCCAAGCTCCTGCGCCGGCTCCAAACATATGCGCGAATCAATTTGGATCATCCCAAAATGCGGTTTGCAAAAGAAACAAATGGCTGAAACCGCGAATTTATATCTAATTCATATCCTCCTGGATTTTTTAATCAGAAACTAACTGTTGGATGATGCTGCTGTATAGTTGGATGTCCATCCCCATCTAAATTTGGAACTTCTTCACTTCGGTGTTGTCATCCAATTTCTAGGTTTCACCATAAAGGACATCCACGTTTTACGTTAGGGTTGAAAAGGGGTGATTTCACCACTGCTGCTTTGCTTGTACGCCAACTAACACTAACAACGGCTACTGAGGGGTTGAATACGAAAAACAAGTGGAACCACCAAGCCAGTCATCTAAAACATCGAAAGAAAGGTTTACTGGTTTTAAAGCACTATAAATTCAGGGGAAACCACATTTCTTTCATGTGCACCTTCAAGGTGCCGCTGGGTCGAATGATGCGCTTCTGGTGGATCCTTGGCCAATTTTTTTGGGTCTGTGGGTGTCATATATCCTACTGGTGCCCCAGTGAGTATTGGATTTAAAGAACAGGGAAAATTATTGAAATGTTGAGGCTGTGTGCACCAACGAATGAACACATGGTTCTGGAGATGCCAATGAAGTGACAGGAAAGAATCAGCGCACGACGGGCTGAATGAACCAAAGAATCCATGAGGCAATACATCAACGAATCAACAAACCACTGAATCAGAACAAATAAATGAAAGAATGAATGAAGTGAGTTACTGTCTCTTTGTTGGGCTACTTCTTCAGTGAGCGACCTCTTCGCTGAGGTTCTTTTTTCCAGCTACTTCTTCTCCGACTTTTGTCAACTGCCTCCCAGCTCTACTGTCTCCTGTACTTTCCGCAACCCAAGTCTTCTCTTCGCGGCAAGGGGCTCACTTTGGACATCAATTCGAACTCACTTCCGGCATAAATGTTCGAGGTTCACTTTGGCCATAAAAGAGCTCACTTTGCGCATAAATGGGATCACTTTGGGCATAAACGGGATCACTTTTTGGGCATAAATGAGATCACTTTGGGCATAAATGGGATCACTTTGGGCATATAAATGGGATCACTTTGGGCATAAATGGGATCACTTTGGGCATAAACGGGAATCCTTTAGGATTTCTTTGGGGTTTCTTTCGGGTTCCCTTGCCTTCACTTCCAACACCCATTTTGGACTCACTTCCAACACCGCCTCACTTCCAACACCCAGAACTAACTCACTACCAACACCCAAACGCAACTCAATTCCAACGCAAAACCCCATTTTCGGCGTCGGAGGCGAGACAACTTCACTACTTATCATAGGAACTCAGGTATGCCCATACACAACAATACCTTGCAGTTTGTTTGGGTGTTGCTGCAAGTAATGTAACAAGGGACATGACACCTCTAGGGTTTGTATGTTGTTGTGCTTAGTGTAAGAAGAGACACGACACCTTTAGTTTATATGTTTTTGTAAGAAGAGCCACGACACCTTTAGGGTTTATATGTTGTTACACTCTTGAGGAATTCTATGTTGTTGCGTGCAATGTAACAAGGGACATGACACCTTTACGGTTTACATGTTGTTAATGTAAGAAGAGCCACGACACCTTTCGGGTTTTTATATTGTCGCAATTGATGTTACCAGGGAAATGACACCTTCAGGGTTTATATGTTGTTTATATATATGTGTGTGTGTTGTTACAGTTAATGTAAGAAGAGCCACGGCACCTTTAGGGTTTATATATTGTTGCACGACGTGTAACGAGGGACATGACACCTTTAGGGTTTGTATATTGGTGCACTTAATGTAAGAAGAGCCACGACACATTCAGGGTTTTAATGTTGTTGCACCTTAATGTATAAGAAAAACCACGACACCTTTAGGGTTTATATGTTGTTGCGCTTAATGTAAGAGAAACCTCAGTTGCATTATGGCACGCCGTAATAGTTCCTGGCTCTTGGGTCTATTAATTCCCTGTAGCAAACATGGGATGCAACCCGTTTATGGCAACCCTACACGGCGGAGATGTATCCACTTGACGCCCGAAGCGAGCCAAAATTTACGCCCGAAGCGAACCCCCGCCCTCTCTTCGCGCAGTCAGCGCAATGCGATTTGCAACCTCCAGCTGCAATTCCGCTTTTTGCGCAGCTGTTACAATGCGTCTAGAAACCCCAGCTGCAATCCCGCATAGCAAGAGCGTCGCAGTATCACTAACGCTTTCCTGCACACAGCCGTGCCAATGGGCTGTTGCATTTGCAAACCCACATAGCAGAAGCTTCGCACCAAATCGATCAACATTCGCGCAGCGTTAACGCGGACTTTTTTGAAGTCTAGTCTGCGGCTGTCAGTTTTTATTAGCCATTTTTGGTGAAACCTCATGCACTGGTGCACATTTTGCCGATTGCCGAACTCATCTTCCAAAAATGCTCCAAACGCGACAGGCTGTTAGCTTTGTGAGGTGCAAACCGAGCTCTCGCTACAGTTCTGTGCGCTTTTCGTCGACAACTTTCCCAGATCGAGCTGCGGAACCGCGGAAGCAGAGCATGGGCAACCTCAAGAGCCACATCACCCGAACAAAACACAAGGTTTCGCGCTCGGGAATGTCATCACCCGTGAATTCACACGCTCCGAACTACTACACTTCCCAACTACTTGATGATGCATGGGGTTGACATGATGATGCGGTTGGCATGATGATGGGGTTGACAATGGTTGGGTTGATATGATGGTGTGAATGCTAACCATGACCATCGTCCGTAAGTCGGAAGTTGTCTAGCTAAACACTAAACTTCCTCGGATTATGCTTATTCTTTTACCCCACGAACTAACCATTATGCCATAATTTGCCAATTATTGACTTAATTACTGATACATCTACCAAAAACCCAGCACTTAACCCAATTATAACTCTGGAAACCATCTGAGCTAACTCCTTGCAGTCATATCCTCAGTTGTTCTGGCGAAATCTTAATTTCGTGGGAAAAATCACCCTTTGATTGGTTGTTTCAACATGAACATCCTGTTGCTGGGGCGAAGCAAACAGAAAGAGCAGACACGTCGGGACACTTCGCACGCCCACCAAGCTGCAAGAGCGAATTTTGACAGCCTCCCCTCTGTTCAACTTTGTCGGCATGCAGCAACCGTGCAGAACTGTCATGGAAACAAGAAGCAAAAACAAAACACCGACTCACAGGGATAGGGTTAGAGTTTATACAGTTTACACGTGTCCAGATCCTATAGCTGGTTGGGTTCGATGCATGAAAGACTTGGTGATCACTTCCGTGGCACAATCTTTGTCCCCTTTATCATTTTGCTGGGCTGAACAACTCCATATACCGGTTTGCGCATGTGATGTCCTCTGACTCGAATCTAAAAACACAATCAGCAAGAGAAGATAATACTGACGACAAAAGCGCTGGAAATACACAAACATCACTGAATTCGTGTCGCGCAAGCTCCACCTCTAAAAGCAATGCGTATGTGTATATATATATATATATACATATGTCTGTGCATGTATGTATATATATATATATCAACAAATATGAATGTATCTCTATATATATATATGAATATAAATATGCATATATATATATGTACATGTATATATATATACACATATTATATATATATATATATTATTATATCTATATATAAATACATATGTAAATATATTCAACTGATTTCAAATGTAGATACATATCGACCTATCTATCTATCTATCTATCTACCTATCTGTCTGTCTATCCATCCATTCATCTCCATCTCTCTACCAATCTCTCCACCCACCCATCCATCCAGTCTAAATCTATCTACATCTATCTAAATATTTCTACATCTACCTAAATCTATCTAAATCTATCTATATCTATCTCTAATTCTATATCTAACTCTATCGATCAATCTCTCTGTCTATCTATCTCTCTGTCTGCCTATCTGTCTCTCTATCTAAAGATGATCTGGAGAACTGAAGTTGAGGATGGCTGTGACCCTAAAAACTTCGTGCCTTTTTGAGAAAAATTGAGAAACTGAAACGCATATTTTGATATACACATATTATAGATTGTTATAAAACAATGCTTTTAATGATTGGATGATCTTCAGAAGTCACCTCACCAAACAAATAATGAACACAATGAACATCCAACAAAATCCAGCCAATAGAATGGTGAACGTCTAAAATAGGCACAAAACTCACTTGAATAGATGATGTCCGGAAGTCAACTCATCTAGTAGTTTTTGTCCACTTTGTCCAAGTTTCACCAACCGTTTCTGTTTACTTGTTCTGTCTATGTGTCTGGTTAATAGTTTCAAACCCTCCAACATAGTAATTTGGAATCAGCATCCCAGGCAAGAATAATAAAAAACAACATGTTGTTCTAACCAAAAGCCAGGTACAATATGTCTATATATATATATTATAGTACTCATATACAAATATAATATATACTTTCCAGTGCATCGTAACCCTAGGGATGTGGGGAAAAAATCAAAGTTGGGTGTCACCTACCAACACAGATGATTAGGTTGGGACTTGGCATCACGGTTTCTGGGACATTCAAAGAGACTGGACCCACAAACCACGAAGAGCGGAAAACAGCCAATAGATGATGTCTTCCAAGATACCAATGATGAAGTGGTGTTACTACTTCATATATAATTCATTATTTCTTTTCATTTCAGTTCATCAATGGAAATTCCAGGATCCTAAACTGGATGTACGTTAGTACCATATTTTTGGCCATATTTTGTCGGGATATCCAATTTAGGATCCTGAAATTCCCATTGAGTTCATTTCATACAACCTGATGAGCCTTCCATCGACAGAAAGCTCCAGAAAGACGATGGCCGACTCTCGTCGGTCTGAAGGAGTTGAGAAAAAACTCTTTGAGCCAATAATTACTTAAGGACCATTTTTGGGCTGTCAGGATTTGCAATAGATAATAACTATAGAGGCATCCTATAGATAGTATTATCCCACTATAGTATACTATAGTGATTTCATCCACATTACAATCCACATTATAAATCAAAACATACAACTTTAGGCAGCAAAATGCAAATATTTAATAAAAACATGTTTGACCAATCAAAATGCACCAGGTCAAGCTGAATTTAAGAGCAATGATTTGGAACATGTGACCTCAGGTAACTACAAGCTGAAACATCCCTTTCAAATGAAACTGTGCCATAAGTTATATGTATATCTACATCTTTGCATACAGAATAATTGGTGGTTATATCCCATCCCCGCTAGTTCTTCCCCCGTAAAATCCCCCAATCCAACAGGTTCGTCTGAAACTATGGGCAAAAAAACAAGTCCGTCCACTGGTGGGTCATGTGGGTCATAATTTCACTATTGGATGGCCATAAGTTTGGGGTATACACCAATTTCAAGCCACACCCATATAGTTGTCGCTGGTTGTATACCCCAATTAAGTCTCCTCAAATCCCATTAATTCCCACTAAAATCCCGTGAATTCCCATTAATCCCCATTAAACTCAGTCACTTTTCCCTCTGCCCAAGCATCAGCCGTTGATTGCGGCGCGGAATCTTCGTCAGCGACTCAATGACGGCGGTCAGGCACAGCGGCGATCGGTCACTGGGCCCCATGGACGGCACCGAAGTCGGCGGCCCAGGCCTGGGGCGCAGGGCACCAAAATCTTCCGATTTAATATGGGGAATATTACTACAATGTGAGGCCCCCAAGATAGCTAAGTTGGTTTATAATCCAATAACTATGGTTTATGGTACTTATAACTATAGTTACTGGGGCTTATAAACCAACTTATAACTGGGGGGCCTCACATTGTATTTAATAATCGACAGTGGAATGTTGCTTGTATTCTATGATATGTTGGATGATATGCTGGTTCACCTGGCTGTTCATATGCTGATATTCATCCCAATATATAATCTGGTTGGTGGTTTCAACCCTTCTGAAAAATATGAAAGTCAGTTGGGATGATTATTCCCAATATACGAGAATGTTCCAAACAACCAACCAGCAATTGACAGTGGAATGCTGCTTATATTTTCTGAAATTATGATTCTATTCTCAGTATATTTTCTCTTATCGTTCCTCATGTTGCATCACTATTGAAGTGGGATTCCCGTTATAGACAAAACCATGTAATTATTGATGCAACATATATCTTAGAATGGATATACGACTGAACAATCGAGGAATAAAAAAGGAGGCAAAATTTGGCTCAACCTTTGGCAGGGGAAACCTCTGACAACGTATCAACTACCTCAGTCTAAACAGGGAGCTGGTCAATGGGGGTACATCCGAGCAATCACCATGATATAACCCAGTTGTATATGGGTTATGGGTTATATATAATTGTATATATATGGAGTTGTATAAGGTTATATAAACACTTAGGAACTCAGATGCACATCTAGGTGCGAGCGGCACATTCCGTATCCCGTCTTCATACCATGACTTCCCGCTCTCTCGGTGACCCCGCTGTGTTAGGTTCTGAGTTTGACACTTCAAAGTGGCTACCCTTTGGTCAAACATGGCAAAGGAAATCCTCACCTAAAATTTCCCTTGATGATGTTCTCATTGAAATGCCTATAGAAATCATGGTTTATTACGTGAGAAAACTCCAGCCAGACATCTTCAGCCACCAGATGCTCGCGACCACTGTCAAATCATGCCGACACCAGCAACACCATGGGCAACATACTCAAACAATGACTAGCATCTAGACACAGACCGTCTATATACTTGAAGACAGCTAATGTTCAGAACATAATTTCGTGACCATATGGCTACTACATGGGTCTGACCAAAAATAGGGGATACTCCGAAATTGCAATTTCAACTCCAAAATTCAGCACCTATTTCTAAGCAGACCCATTTATCATCCAAATTATCTTCATAGAATCCATCGATTGTGATTTCTATGCTCTATCTCGATAAGCAATTAATGATCACCATTATGCCAACTACAAACCCATAAGGGTATGGGTCGCAGATACTGACGTTTGATCATTGGAACCCTGACTTGACGCATTCCCGTTTTCGAGAAATGATGTCATTGCCCATCTCAGACACCTTGCATCCACCGGTTGGTCCACCCCTTTTTTTGATACTGCATTCCCCATATTTACAATTGTTCGTGGTTAGATTCTAATGTTTATTGGTTAAATCCTTTTTCCCCCTTTCATTGTTCAAAGCTAAATGGTTTCGTATCTCATAGTTATAGGGTTTTATTTATGCTAACATTCATCATTTTTTATTGATCAATAATTTCCCACCAGGATAAAAACTATAGCTAAATTACTTATTTATCCTGGGATTTTCAATTGATCCTATATTGCCAGGGTTCTCCTTCATTTTTCATAGCTAGTTTTTCCCAGGTTTTCCCAAGGATTCACCGTGCTTCCCAGGGACGCTCCCAGTAGACGTTCCAAGGCAATACTGGCCTTCCGCCGTGGCCTCAACGCTGGGGTTCTTCACCATGTATCTGGGTATTACACACATATATATATATATGTAATATTACAATCATATTACAACATATTCCATTATATTGATAGTATCAACTATTTCCAATGTATATATATATATATATTAGTAAATATATTACTAGATCCAAATGACCATGATCTTTTATTACATATACCCTCTGGTAAACTAACATAGCCATGGTATAGATGACCCATAGAAATAGATGGTTTACCTATTACAAATGGTGATTTTTCATGGTTATGTTAAATAACCAGAGGGTATATGTAATAAAAGATCATGGACATTTGGATCTAGTAATATATATATATATACACTAATTAATATATATATATATATACACTGGAAATAACTGATATTATGTATATAATGGAATATGTTGTAATATGATTGTAATATTATATATATATATATATGAATAATGTAAATAACCAATCATAACTAACCCCCAGTCATCACCATGTTTAAAGGTGGTAGGTTTAGCTGCTGATGATGATGATAATGATGATAATGATCCCGTCAAACTCTTCCAGAAGCGGGGCAAATGGTGGGAGTTGATCGTATGATTACCATTCCCAAACGGGTTGTTTATTATTGTTTCAGTTTCACTCTCATTATACATATCTATATATATATATATAGCTTATTGTAAATGTACATATCTGTGGTCACCCCCCACGGTTGAACCTACCTTTACAAATATATTTTGTGGTATTTGCAGCAAAACAAACTATGATTTGGTTGTCCAGCTTTTTGTGTGTGTATATTGAATATGTCTAATCTATATATATATATATATAGTGTCGACAGATATATATATATATAACATATTATGTGAGTAAAATGTGATAGATGAGAAATAATTGTGCATTACAATCCCAATTGTTCAGAAACCGATATGATTTACGCATTGTACCGGTTCCATTCGAGTGACAAAGCCATGGGATGATTCTCCAGGAAGAGGCCAAACCATGGGATGGAGGTGGTCTTTTAATTTCGGAAGGGATTTTCCCATGTTTTCGTTGGCAAAGATCCGAACAAAAATGGATTGGAAAAAAGATCCGCAAAAAAAAACTAACTTAAGGATACTTGAGGGCAAAAGATGGGCAACCAGTTGCAACTGCGGTCGCAAATTCGGGATGATGAAGCACATCACCAACAAAAATATTCAGTTTCTGGAATATTTTTTCCCGAGAGCGTCTGAGCGAAGGGTTCTTCTAATAGTGGGGGTCTGTCAAACATTTTCACATATTCACATCTTCACATAACATCTTCAAGTCTTTACATCTTCCCATCTTCACATCTTCTCATCTTCACACCTGTTCATCTTCACATCTTCTCATCTTCACATCTGTTCATCTTCACATCTTTTCATCTTCACATCTGTTCATCTTCACATCTTGTCATCTTCACATCCTCACATCTTCTCATCTTCACATCTGCTCGTCTTCTCATCTTCACATCTTTACATTCTCTCTTGCCCTCTTGCTCTTTTGCCCTCTTGCATCTTCTCGTCTTCAGCTCACATCTTCACATCTTCTCATCTTCACATCTTCTCATCTTCACATCTTCACATCCTCACATCTTCACATTCTCTCTTGCCCTCTTGCTCTCTTGCCCTCTTGCTCTCTGCTTCTTTTCCATTTCTCTCTTGAAGGCGCGGGGCAGTGCCAACGAGACGGCACGAAACGCAACCCTTTCGCACGAAATGAGGTTCGATCGCCAAAAACTGAGGTAAATTTGCGATTTCTCTTGTCCGTGCGCAACCCTTTCGCACGAAATGAGGTTCGATCGCCAAAAACTGAAGTAAAATGTTCGATTTCACGCATTCTTTCGCAACGCTTCTCTTCTGTGTGTAAAAGCTGTCTGTGTGTAAAAGTCTCTGTGTGTAAAAGCATCTTTGCATCAAAGCGTCTGTGTAAAATCGTATGTGTAAAATGGTCTGTGCGTAAAAGTGTCTGTGTTGAAAGGAGTCTGTGTGTAAAAGCGTCTGTGTGTAAAAGTGTCTGTGTGTAAAAGTGTCTGTGTGTAAAAGCGTATGTGTGTAAAGACGTTTGTGTCTAAAAGCGTCTGTGTGTAAAACTGTCTGTGTGTAAAGACGTTTGTGTCTAAAAGCGTCTGTATGTAAAAGTGTCTGTGTTTAAACGCGTCTGTGTGTAAAAGCTTTGTTTAAAAGCGTCTGTGTGTAAAAGCTTCCGTGTGTAAAAGCTTCTGTGTGTGTGCAAACTTCTTGGTGTAAGAGCTTCTGTGTGTAAACGCGTCTTTGTGTAAAAGCGTCTGTATGTAAAAGCGTCTGTATGTAAAAGCATCTGTGTGCAAAAGCGTTTGTGTGTAAAAGTCTCTGTCTGCAAAAGCGTCTGTCTGTAAAAAGTTCTGTGTGTGAAAAACTATACGAAAGATACGATGCAAACTATTGTACTTGTAATATATTGTCTTGATACTACTTTTCTCATCTGCCTATATTACATCTTTAATATTTTGTCTTGTAATATAGTGTCTCCATACTTACTAACATCAGAAGACTCTGCTCCTCTACGCTCTCGGGCCATCCGTCGTCTAGTTTCCTTGGAAAAGGCCTCAGGGTCTTCTGTTGACGCAAAGCTTGGGCAGCTTCCTCTGCTTCCTCGGTGAGGTGGAAAACGTGTCCGGTTTCTTGAAAGGAGAATGATCTACCAATATTGGGTTTTCCACATCTATGTCACTTAAAATATATGGTTTTGTTATTTCCAATGATTGTGACAACTCCGTTGATGGTGGGTTAAAGAATTCCACATCAAGTTCTAAGAGTTTACTGGAGGGCAACTACTTTGCAGCTGTTTACATATTTATACAAGATATTGTGGGTATGAGTCAAACTTGGATACCCAAAAAACATGGTGGCGGCGTCTCTAAGAGGCCTGCGCCGGCACCAAAAACATAAACAGTTCATATTAAAAGTAGACTCAAAAATGTGATCCCCTGGATCTGAAATTTTGACAATCTGGGATACCTCCTGTGATGTGAAGAACGGTTTCGCGAAAAATCGTGGAATGCTCGACAAGGTCTGAAAATTGAGACCAGTGATTGATAGCTGCAAGCATGTAGGTGCTGCGACAGATGAAAGAGAAACTGACTTACACTTCTCGATTTAAACAGTTTCAAGTTGAACACTTGTGACATCGATTCAACTTTGTTAACAGATCCTGGTGTTTAACAACCGGTCGTCAACAAAACATAGCACAGCGCAGTTAAACGCATCGGAGAAGCAGCAGACCCAGCAGGAATTAACAAGCTGCTTGGTCAAACAGCTGTAAAAACATATGAGCTCCGGTCAAAATATTTGACATCTCAGTAGTTACAATCCCATATGCTCCATATATGGAATATTTACCAACATTTGCACCAAAAATCACCCAGTTTTGTAGGTAAATAAACCATACATGGAGCATCTGGGAATTATCGGTGGCTATATCGCTGCACCAGATCACCGGAGCAAAGACGGCTGCACCAGGCATTTTCCCGGCAAAGCAAGGCGCCACAAGAATTGACGTCCACATTGGTTTCTGTATGAGTATCTATATCAATCAGGTTGAAGTTACCCTCTGGTAAACATACAAAAAGCTATTGAAAATTTCCATTTATAGTTGATTTGCCCATTAAAAATGGTGATTATGCTTATTCTTTTACCCCACGAACTAACCATTTTGCAACAAAATCCCAGTTATTGACTTAATTACCTGATGCATCTACCAAAAACCCAGCACTTAACCCAATTATATAACTTTGGAAACCATCTGAGCTAACTATCGGGCACCTCCTTGCAGTCATATCCTCAGTTGTTCTGGCAAAACCCTAATCTTGTGGGAAAAATCACCCTCTGATTGGTTGTTTCAACATGAGCATCCTGTTGCTGGCACGAAGCAAACAGAAACAGCAGACACGTCGGGACACTTCGCGTCGCGCGCCCACCAAGCTGCAAGAGCGAATTTTGACAGCCTCCCCTCTGTTCAACTTTGTCGGCACGCAGCAACCGTGCAGAACTGTCATGGAAACAAACAGCAAAATTTGAAACATTTTATATCTCGCTTCGAAAAAAGTGTCCAGATCCTAGCTGGTTGGGTTCGATGCATGAAAGACTTGGCGACCACTTTCGTGGCACAGTCTTTGTCCCCTTTATCACATTTTGCTGGGCTGAACAACTCCATATACCAGTTCGCGCGTGTGACGTCCTCTGACTCGAATCTAAAACCACAATCAGCAAGAGAGGATAATACTTGCGACAAAGGCGCTGGAAATACACAAACATCACTGAATTCATGTCGCGCAGGCTCCACCTCTAAAAGCAATGCGTGTGTATATATATAATATATATATATAGGTATATAATAGTATATAAAAAATACATATGTATCATAATTGTAAACTATTAAATGATTTCAAAAGTGTAGGATACATATCGATAAATTCTTGTCTATTACCATCCATCTAACCTATCCTATCTGTCATCCACCCAACCCACCCACCCACCCAATCCATCCTATCCATACCCATTCCTCCTATCATCAATCCAATCCATCAAGTCTAAAACTTATCTACAATATCTACATTCTATCTAAATCTACTACTTTTATCATATTCTAATTGTCGATCTACTCTCTGTCTATCTATCTCTCTATCTGCCTATCTGTCTCTCTATCTAAAGATGATCTGGAGAACTGAAGTTGAGGATGGATTTGACCCTAAAAAAATTGTGTCCTTTTGAGAAAAAATGAGAAACTGAAACGCATATTTTGGTATACACATATTATAGATTGTTGTAGAATAATGCTTTTAATGACTGATGATCTTCAGAAGTCACCTCGCCAAGCAAATAGTGAACACAATGAAAATCCAACAAACTCCAGCCAATAGAATGGTGAACGTCCAAAATAGGCACACAACTCACTTGAATAGATGATGTTCGGAAGTCAACTCATCTAGTTTTTTTCCACTTTGTCCAAGTTTCACCAACCGTTTCTGTTTACTTTTTCTATCTATGTGTCTGGTTAGTAGTTTCAAACCCTCCAAACATAGTAATTTGGAATCAGCATCCCAGGCAAGAATAATCAAAAACAACATGTTGTTCTAACCAAAAGCCAGGTGCAATATGTATATATATATTATAGTACTCATATACAAATATATACTTTCGAGTGCATCGTAACCCTAGGGATGTGGGAAAAAAATCAAAGTTGGGTACGCCAAATCATCCAGTCGTCAGAAACGACAATGACTTAGTGACTTGAAACCCATGGTGACTTGGTGATCCCCCATGACATAAGAACCGCCATATCACCATGATACCACCATTAAATCACCATGATATTCCACTGTGTGCAATTTAAATCCCATGACATGATAGGAAATTCATGGAAATTCAATGAAATGATACGAAATTCATGAAAATTCCATGAAATGAAGGAAATTCATGGAAATTCCATGAAATGATCGGCAATTCATAGAAATTCCAAATGATAGGAAATTCATGGAAATTCCATGAAATGATACGAAATTCATGAAAGTTCCACGAAATGATAGGAAATTCATAGAAATTACATGAAATGATACGAAATTCATGAAAATTCCATGAAATGAAAGGAAATTCATAGGAAATTCCATGAAATGATAAGAAATTCATAGGAATTCCATGAAATGATAAGAAATTCATGGGAATTCCATGAAATGATAGGAAATTCATGGAAATTCCATGAAATGATACGAAATTCATGGGAATTCCATGAAATGATAGGAAATTCATGAAAATTCCATGAAATTATACGAAATTCATGAAAATTCCATGAAATTATACGAAATTCATGGGAATTCCATGAAATGATACGAAATTCATGAAAATTCCATGAAATGATAGGAAATTCATAGAAATTCCAAATGATAGGAAATTCATGGAAATTCCATGAAATGATACGAAATTCATGAAAGTTCCACGAAATGATAGGAAATTCATAGAAATTACATGAAATGATACGAAATTCATGAAAATTCCATGAAATGAAAGGAAATTCATGGAAATTCCATGAAATGATCGGCCAATTCATAGGAATTCCATGAAATGATAAGAAATTCATGAAAATTCCATGAAATGATACGAAATTCATGGGAATTCCATGAAATGATAGGAAATTCATGGGAATTCCATGAAATGATACGAAATTCATGAAAATTCCATGAAATTATACGAAATTCATGGGAATTCCATGAAATGATAGGAAATTCATGAAAATTCCATGAAATGATAGGAAATTCATGAAAATTCCATGAAATGATACGAAATTCATGAAAATTCCACGAAATGATCGGCAATTCATGAAAATTCCATGAAATGATACGAAATTCATGGGAATTCCATGAAATGATACGAAATTCACGAAAATTCCATGAAATGATACGAAATTCATGAAAATTCCATGAAATGATACGAAATTCATGAAAATTCCATGAAATGATACGAAATTCATGAAAGTTCCATGAAATGATCGGCAATTCATGGGAATTCCAAATGATAGGAAATTCATGGAAATTCCATGAAATGATACGAAATTCATGAAAGTTCCACGAAATGATAGGAAATTCATAGAAATTCCATGAAATGAAAGGAAATTCATGGAAATTCCAAATGATACGAAATTCATGAAAATTCCATGAAATGATACGAAATTCATGGAAATTCCATGAAATGATCGGCAATTCATGAAAATTCCATGAAATGATACGAAATTCATGGGAATTCCATGAAAAACCATGCATTTTGGGATATATGTCCCCATTGCCCCGTTACGGATCCACGACAGATCCGAGCGATCCGAGTCTCGCTGAGATGCAACGGCAGATCCTCGGGCACCTGGATCACTAAGACGCCGCAGCCCACCGACAGATAGAGACCTGGGATTCGGTTCCGTCCTTGACACATACGATACATATGATACATATATATATATATAATTATACATATGAAGTGATTTATACATATATACAGATATGTATATATATATATATGTTTAAATATTCTCTATATTATATATACATATCATGGAACGATATATATATATGTATGTACTCTTTATTACATATATATATATATATATATACATTGGACATAAATTGAAATATATATATATAATTATATGTTATATATACATGACTTGATATATACTGCAATATGTCTTAATTAATTTTATATAGACTGCATTATATATACTGTATTGTATTTAATTCTATAATATATATATATATATTCTTTATTACACACATATATATATTCTTTATTACATATATATATATGGTATGTATACATATATACAGATCTATGTATATATCTATATATACACCATATTCCACATATTCCCAGTTGATGATGTTATTGTTGTAAATCCGTGATTCATGTAAAGACCCGCATTTTGGAGCACACGTTCTTGTTTTACGCAGAACATGCTGTTATTTCAATTGAGTTTACCAGGTTACCACATCACAATAGACTTTTGCCCGGGCCATGGCGATTGCGCCAGCCATCAAACGCTGGAAATGACATGAAAGGCAGCGGGGGAGGCAACCAATAAGAATGGAGAGATTTGAGCACAGTAAGAAAACGCACCAGAAAATGCTGAGCAGAAACTACTGGAACATAGTGGAACTCATCAACAGTTTTCAAACACCAATCAGCTAATGAATGTTGGGCAAATTGTAGGGCAAACCTGAAATGCGCTGTTACGAGACACATGAACTCCCCACAGAGAAACCCTGGAAGGCTCTTGACAATGGCAAGTGAGGGTCACAAATGATGAAAAAGGATGAAAAAGGTAGGTACCACTCAAACAAAAACACCGAAAAATCATGAAAGATGACCAGTGAATCAAAGGTTCCCCGGTTCCCCGGTTGAACTTGCGCAACTGCCGACCCCCCGGAGCCCAAGCTGCGTATCGTGGGCACCCGCGCGGGCACCCGCGGCCGCGTGTTCAACGCACCCTGCAGATGGGTCGCAAGGCCACTGGCGGCCGTTTGGCGCTGCATCTCTTGGACCAAGCCTTAGCCAACAAAGAAATCCTGACCTCAAGTCTACATTCTACATCAATAAGGATGTGATATTTGGTGATATAACCATAGTTAAGCATGAAACATGGTGATTCAATGGGATATGAATGGGAATATCATGTGATATATAGCCAACAAATATCAACATTGGTGTGTCTGAAAATGGGGGATACCATCTAAAATACATTGATACATGTTTTCTTGAGAAACTCATGAGCAGCTCATTAATTTTTAGGAATACCATGAGGCACCCTATTTTCAGACAAAGCCATATGAGTCAATATTTTTCAACCAGGCTGGAAGTGAAGTTTAGTAAGTGACCATGGCTTCTCAAGTGACCCTTTAACGGTGTGAAAACCGCAACGGCAGCCAGTCATGTGCCATGAGCCTCAAGCCCTCCAAATCCGGCGTTCGAATCAGGATGTTCCCCCATTCATTGGGGGTAAACCAAGGGTAAGCCATGGTATAGATGGCCCATAGAAATAGATCGTTTTTACCCGTTTATATATGGTTTACCTTAATAAGGTATGGTATATTGATGTACCCTCTGGTTATGACTCACATATGGAAAGATGACACATAGCCATGGAAAGATCCACCATTTTTAAGAACGGTAAACCATCTATAAATGGACCATCTATACCATGGCTAACTGTTAGTCATAACCAGAGGGTAAATCCTCCATTTCAGACATAGCCATTCTTCATATTCTTCATTGGTTATGTAATGTTCCCACTATGTCCCCCTGATCTTCCCCAACTATGCGGTGGTAACTGAGCCACTAAAAGTACCCCTATCCCATCTCATTCAAGATAGGTTTCCCAAAAAATAGGTTACCATCTGGTTATTTAACATAGCCATGGAAAATCACCATTTTAATAGTTAAACCATCTATAAATGGGCCATCTATACCATGGCTATGTTAAATAACCAGAGGGTATCATAATCCCCAAGAATTCTCAACTTATCTAGTTCAACAATTACTATATGTCCTTATCAAATCCCTACAATAGGTTCTCAATGGTTAAAAAAAACTCCCTATATCAACCTGTCAGATCAACACATTGATATCGATGATATTGGCTTTAAGTATCAGATACATGGTTAACTATCAGATCAACACATTAATATCATATCAATGGCTCTTAAATCCCTTTAAAACACATTCCCCCCTCGCCGAAAGCCACGTTCCAGCTCTTCATCGGAGACCTTCCAACTCTTCTCCTGGAATCCAGATTCAGGAGGGCAAGTGGGGAATATCTTAGCTTAATGAAGGTAAGTACATGTATATATATATATAATCTATATATATAATCTTTATATATATATAAATGCATTTATATACTTATGTAAGGCTAATATATCTATATATATAGTGTACATAACTGGCTGATTAATTTGGTGTGTATATAATTATATATATATTGTATAGATACCAGTATATGTATATGATAGAATATCATGATATATGATATCTATATATTACCCCAGCTGGTTGTGTATGAACAAGTAAACTGGTTGGAACTAAGCACGGATAATTGATGAAGAGCCAAGTTTGAAGGAACCCATTAGCCATCCTGGTAAACTAACATAACTATGGAAAATCACCCTTTTTAATGGGTAAATCAACTATAAATGGCATTTTTCAATAGCTATGTTAGTTTACCAGAGGGTAACCATCCTGGAAATGACTTGGAAGATTGCAATGTACTGCATAGATTCTATGGATCATTACGCCCTCACTGCAGCGTCACTGGAATGATGGTTACTAGGGGTAACCCCCAAAATAGTTTTATTTCTGGTGAGTAAATTATTCCCTATGTTTTTCCAGAAGATAATAGTACCAGAATATAATAGTACCAGAATATTATAGAACGCATTTCCAGAATATAGATTTACCATATTATAGTACTTCTCTGGAAATGTGTTCCAGTACCTCCTAGCCGCTTTCGTCGGCTGCTGAAACAGCAAATCTCCAGGAATTGCACGCAGGGACCCATCATTCCCGACGAAAATGGCGACGAAAAGCTGACCATAGACAGCCAAAAAAAATTGAAGTTAGCATCCCTTTTTCCTATCAAATTGCCATGTGGGGGTGAACATCATTCGTTGTGAAAAACCGTACCCATATCGTTGGTTACATTCCATTCCATTGTTACATCCATTTACATTCCATGTGCATTCCCATAGTGGGTTGAAATCGTGTTTTGCTGGTTACACCCTATACCTCAATATTTTGTCCCATTAAATTCCATTCTATATGTAATTTAAACATAGAAAAGTAATTGATCACTGTGTTAGGATTGAATTTTACTGTTCTATCTTTTTGGTGGGTGCTATAAACATATATGGCTATGGATCAATACCTATTAATAGCATTTTTAGTGGGATGAACATCCATTTACCAGCTATTTTGGGGTTCACCAGGGGTACAAGGTTTTGACACACTGCCATATATATATATATATATTATATATATATGTAATTATTGTATAAATATGACTCACAACATTTACACGACGATTCCGACGAAGCCGATGCTGATCATGACTGGTGAAATCCCAAATTTCAAACCTCAAAGTTTTTTTGGGAGTTTCACCATGTGAAACTCACCCCTTTTTTTTGCCATGGTTTCTACAATGTGGGGCCCTCAAACGATAGCTAAGTTGGTTTATAACTCCAACAACTATGGTTTATGATACTCGTAGTTCATGGGGCTTATAGACCAACTTATAACTAGGGGGCCCCACATTGTAGTTTTTTACGCCCAAAAAAAACCTTGGCGCCTTCTCCTTCTCAGGTGTCACCGACCCAGGCGAAGGCGAAGGCGAAAGATCTTCCACCAGCTCCTCTGGCTGCACCTGAAGCGACACGTTTCATGGCAAAGATAAGGCAAAATGACGGACAAATATTCATTGGAAAATTTACAGGAAACCATGGTTTTTACCATTAAATATAGGACTTTCCTGTAATTATTCCCTCACCAATCCAATGAAATATGGCAAACACAAGGGAAAAACATGGTAATGGCAGACATAGGGAAACTTCATGGAAACCGAAATCCTGTCTGAAACATCTGGAAAAAGGATGAAACAAATTAGAAACATATGGAAACATGATGAGCAAAAAATATGCATAAACCAACATGGAAACAGAATGATTTCAATGGAAGCATATGGAACATATGAATGGGAACAAATGGAAAAATGGAAGTATAAGGAACAATGGAAACAAAAAACAACATGTTGGCTGGACGGGGGGGGTTAGCCCCGTTTTTACTGGGTTGCTTTTGGGGTTGGGGGGGGTGGGGTGGGATGTCAACGTTCATGTTACGCTGATGATGTTACGCTGATCATCTGGGGTTGGGGTGGGGTGGGGTGGGATGTTAACGTTCATGTTACGCTGATGATGTTACGCTGATCATCTGGGGTTGGGGTGGGGGTGGGATGTTAACGTTCATGTTACGCTGATGATGTTACGCTGATCATCTGGGGTTGGGGTGGGGTGGGGTGGGATGTTAACGTTCATGTTACGCTGATGATGTTACGCTGATCATCTGGGGTTGGGGTGGGGGTGGGATGTTAACGTTCATGTTACGCTGATGATGTTACGCTGATCATCTGGGGTTGGGGTGGGGTGGGGTGGGATGTTAACGTTCATGTTACGCTGATGATGTTACGCTGATCATCTGGGGTTGGGGAGGGGTGGGGTGGGATGTTAACGTTCATGTTACGCTGATGATGTTACGCTGATCATCTGGGGTTGGGGAGGGGTGGGGTGGGATGTTAACGTTCATGTTACGCTGATGATGTTACGCTGATCATCTGGGGTTGGGGGGGGTTGCTACGCTCAGAAGGTCTTGGGGGCAGTGTGTGTGCACTTGCTTTCGATGTTGATGGTACGCGAAGAACGTATTTGGGGTTGGGGGGGTTGGGTCTGTGTTAACTGTATGATATATTTACTGTATTATATAAATATATTTTTACTGAATAATATATACTTGTCAGGATGATTTGTTTATGTAAATTTCACCGGTCATGTCTGCCTGCTACCTGCGCTGCAGGTACGCATCTCAGATGTTGGGGCTGGGCTGCATTGGTGTGTCAGGGCTGGTTGGAGTTCCTGGTTGCGTGAGAGTTCGTCAAGTTTGCTTAGACATATAAGTTTCCAAAAGTAGTTCGTAGTTACATGGTTCAAACGCAAGAAAGGGTTTAACGCGAATATCATGGGAATGTCATGCTTGTCTAGCACAGCTTTGCTTGTGTAGCTCGCTGCTGGGCTCTGTTTCCATGGATCCGCTTCTGTATGGTGTTACATTGTTAATTCTCCTCCGCGCAGCTCATGAAAAGTTTCCACCTGTCTGTGTTCTTTGGTCCTTTTTGAGCACGGAAGAACTGTGGGATGTTCACTACATCTTAGCGTTGAAATGGCATGGGGATGCTGGAGCTGAGACCACCTTTGCTGCAGTGGAACGAGTGTATCATTGGACGAGCCATGATTCCTCAAGATGCAGCTGCGCACATTGTTGGGCGATCCCATGACTATGTCGATTCCATTTACAATCAAGCTCGCATGGTGACAGGTTGGGCTGAGTTTCAGAAAAACAAATCCATGACCTTTGACGCCGGAATCCTGGAGGTAGATTCGTGTCGTACGGCAACCAGAAAAAACAAGGTGGGGTCAAAGAAACGAAAAATGACAAAGAAGCCAGCCGGGAACACGGTTGCCAAGAAACCAACTTCCAAAGTGGCAGTGCATGGTGGTCGGTTTCTAGTGGCTGTCAGCAGAAAAAACAAACAAAGCGCTTTCTATCCTTTGCCTGACCGCTTCACGGCTACATCTGCTCCTGGCCCGCCAGAGACTTTAGACGAAGTTGTGCCGCTCTTGCAACACAAAGTGAACCCCAGCAAACACATCCTGGGCTCCGATGCCTCCAAAGGATTGAAGGGAGCTAGAAAAAAATTGAACTTGGAAGCAGTCACTGCTAGACATAGCTTGTCAGAATACACACCTGTACAGTCCCTCAAAAAGAGAAAGGTTTCCACAACAGCCTTGAAAGCCATTGGCTGCAAAGCAGCTCAAACTGGCCGGCATAAAGTAACCATGGTCGGAGGAGACCAGGTCGCAGAATCTCACACAGCTCTGCTGAAAAAGCAGCTGAGACGAAACAATAAGCTTGGAGGCCTCTCATTGAAAACTGCACACGTGGATGGTTTGTCAGCACTTTACATTCACAAGAACTTAGGCCTGGAAGCGACTATGATGGCGTTCGCTCAATTCATTGCCCACATGACTGACAAAGTCAGTCATGTGAAATGTTTTGAAGATGTCTCGTGGATGGAAGACAAGTGAAAAAAAAGGGCTCAACATGCAAATGTGTCGCAGCAACAAACCCCTGTAAAAGTCAATGACACAACATAACCATGTTTGAAAATTGTCATTTCGCCACGGCGAAACACTCCTTTTTGATCATGTGACTTTGCCTTTGACACATCAATGAAAAAAAGAGCTCAAAATGCAAATGTATCGCGGCAACAAACCCCTGTAAGGGTTGCTCCCAACATCCATTTTTTTGAAAAAATGAAAGTTATGTTGACACTGCTAAGCAGAACTCAAGTCAATGACACATCATAAGCATGTTTGAAAACTGCCATTTCGCCACAGCGAAACACTAATTTTTGATGATATGCACTTTGCCTTTGACAGACAGACGAACCAAAACAATTGGAAGCGGGGCTAACCCCCCCCGTCAACCCAACATGTTGCATCTTGATGTGTGCTATATCAATATCCATCTCAGAGTCGCAAAACTACAGTAGATATATAATTAATTTCATCAAAACAAAAAATATTATGGGAATACTATGGCAAAAAGATTTCAACATATGGAAACATAAGTGAAACATATATGGAACTATCACGAGATAATATTATTCATACTATATAATGTCAATGTGTTGCTATGTCAAACAGTTGGGTTAAGACTTTTGCAAGCTGCTGTTTCTCAAGTTTTGGGTATATCATTACTAGTATACATCTTGAAGTCAGAGCGAAACAAAAGAACTGAAACAGTTTATAGTTACAGTAAAAGAAAAGAGGAAACTAAATCTCTAAGTTATCTAAGTTTCAGTTTCAGACTTAAAAAACAACTTTTGCCCCCGAAAGCCCAACAAAATTCGTGTCCCACACTCCAACTCCATCACCTCCTCCACGCTCCGCGCCCAAGCGCCGGCGGTTGAAGCATCTCCAGGATGCGTTCGTCGCTGACGTGCCACCACTTCGCCGGCGCGTCTTCCGCGGAGGCCGCAGCGGTGTCGGGAACCTGTGGGGTTGGAAGCCCAGGAGCTGATATAAGTGACATATAGTGACATGAAGTGACCAAGTGATATGGAAAGCCTCTAAATTATGGGGGCTTTTTTCGAAAATGCTGTTGTTTTACAGGATTGAAGCTGGGATTTGGGATCACCAACGAATTCTTCGTGACCTGTGTGTGAATTCATGAAAGCGAGGTGGCGAGGTCACCTGGCATCTCTCATTCACTGTGAAAGTGTTTCGGAAATGATTAGCAACTTAGCTAGACTTAGGAGTAAGACTATATAGATATTGTTATATTATATAATGCATATATATATATAATTACATATATATATAGTAATATAGTGAGATATTATTGTATATTATTATGTCTTCTTATCATCTGTATCACTATTTGTTGCATTGAGGACAAGAAAACAAGCATCCTGGTGAATCTTGGATGCCCTGAAAATATCTGAAGATAATATTTAGCTGGTTAGTACTAATACAATTATTAAATATTATGAATACATATATTACCCTCTGGTACATGAACAGTTCGACCTTGGCCCTGAACATCATCCATTTTTGGTGGAAGCTCATCCTCCAACCTCGACTCATGCCAGGCTCAATCCATGATTGGGATGATGTTTCGATGTTTTTTTCGATGACTGGGATGATTACCCTCTGGTAATTCGACAGAACTATGGAAAATCTATAGAAAATCGCCATTTTGAAGAAAGAACAACTATGGAAAATCACCATTATCCATTTTCAATAAGGAAAAACTATGGAAAATCACCATTTTCAAGAAGGACATCTGCCAGTTCTTTGCAGATTCAGCTGTCAACGCCTCAACGTCCCACGGCCCACCGTGCACCTCCCAGCCGTCGGTCTCCCAGAACTGTCGCTCCCAGCCGTCCACGGTGTCGGCGTGAACGCCGGCGTGAACGCCGGCGTTCAGCGATGGCAGGGGGCCCTGGGCCATGTTGGAGTCATGGAGGATTTATCAAGGAATTTATAAGGATTTTCATGGGATTTTATAAGGATTCAATGAGATTTTAATGGGATTTTAATGGGATTTTAATGGGATTTCATGAGATTTCTCAATGGATTCAATGAGATTTCACAGGCCATGAGGATGAATGGCTTGCTTGGAGGATCATCCCTTGGATTGGAAGTGATGATTAAAAAAACCTGGTTAGGAAGTCCCCTAAGTGGGTTATCACATTTATGTATATATATATATATGTATATATATAGATCTATGGCATATAACTATATACTGTTTCTAACCACTTAGTAAGTGGATGTCAGTGGTATGATCCTGGAAGTCGGCGAATTCGGATTCATGGCCTAGCAGTTTGATCAACTTATATCATATCCTCCAACCATCAGAATACCACTATCAACAAGAACACCTGTTACTTTTACCCCATCCAAAAGCATCATATATTTGGGCCGAACAACGTGGATGAGTTCGATGATTTGGGGATGTTAGGCCCTAATCGTTCAACCACCGTGTTTGTTTTGTGTTTAGAAAAATGCGGTGCAAAAATGTGCATCTCGTGACAGTTTAAATTCAACACGCGATTATCAACTGATAAGTTTTTTTTCAGACAATCCCATGGGGTTCAACTATTCAACCAGCAAAAATCATAGGGCTGCTCAATGTTGAAGCCACCTAGCAGGGAAAAATCACTGTTAGATCATGTGCAATTCAAGAATGTTCCATCACCAGTTCAATTACCCCATGTATATCTGGTAACTGCATGGATTAACCCCCATTTGCGGGTCTTTATATGCCAATGTTAATATTAGACCTGAAGTTCTTTTGGTTGGTTAAACTGTCCATCAAATATCCATACTATGGTATCATATGGTATCCATATTAAAAAGGCTGAACCACCCATTTCTCAAATATTCGAAGATCATGGCTATGGTATCCACAGAAAAAACATGAAACATGGCATGACTTTTGGTGAAAATTCACTTTACAAAATCATCAAAATTAGGATAACATCTTCCAAAATACATCAAAATTAGGAGAAGATCACCAAAGATCACCAAAGTGGTTCACCAAAAATCACCCAAAATCATGAAAATTCACCACCCCACTGCCTGGAATTCCGACGTCTTCCCACTGCGATGTTTGCGCTTGATGAAGACCCCACCGCCCAAGCTGGGCGCAGGCGCGCCCGGCGCGCGCCAGGGGCGGCCCAGGGGCATGGGACTTCAGCCGCTTAAGCCATGGGATTTTTGGAGATTTTGGAGGTACTTAAAGTGTTGCTTTTTGGAGATGTTTGATTAACCCATGTTTTGGATTTTCGGTAGAACATGGGTTGATGGTTTGAGACGTTCAGGAAAACTTGACCCAGTTTTTTTTGGGTGAGTTTATGACGATTTCAGGGAACAGTCACCAAAAAATAACTAGAGAAAAAAAAACATGTGGTTTTTGCCTGTGTTTCGGCCAAGTTGTTTCTCTTCTCCGAGAGCTGTTCCTCCGTCCTTTTTCACATCCCAAGACTGGCCTGTTTCGTTGGAATTTAACGGATCTTCAGCTCCAAGCCGGGCAACGGACCATGAACGCATGATATCATACTAAAAGTTTATTTTTTCTTTTTTAAGCATGACTAACAGCTGGTTTACCAAATAATAAGATATATTAAGATATAATAAGGTTGCAAAGAATAATCCAGGAAGCATTAGAATTTGTCATGTGAGAATAAACATGCATAAACTGATTGGAGCTTCATGGTGAATTGTGGTCTTGGGATCTTAAGAGTTAGCCAAGTAGCCACTGTAGTCGTCCTGGAGTAAGTAGAATCTGGCATATTCAAAGATATTTCCTAGTTGGATCGGTTGAAATGTGCATATATCATATTCTATCTATATACTCCAGGATGACTCTATACATATAATATAATTAGTTATTTAACTTGTGTATAATCACATTTCCTTCTATGGTCCATTCGCCAGCAGGTTTCAAAAACCTTTGTCAAAGGACCACCACTTGAGCATTGGAAAATCTCAGAAACCGTTCGCCACACTTCTTTGTGATGCCAGGATTTGTCTGATACTGGAAGTACTGGAAGTCCAAGTGCGGGATTTTTTTAATAAAAAAAAACAGGAGTTGCTTAGCATCATTGTCCCAATCAAAATTCACATGTTACCCCGTTTCCAGACACCTCAATGAACACATCCTCTAGGTAGAAGTATAGTGTTGGGCTTGCGGCCAGTTGACTTGACAAGTACCAGCAATACAACGGTGATATGTCCGAAAATACCGGTACCAATAGAGGGAACATGAAGGAACAAGAGCACAACATGCACTCAAACAAAAACAGATGCAGAGTTTTTCCAGCATATTCCCAGCATATTCCCATCTATCTGGGAATTGTCCAACTGAAAACGAAGATTTTTCAAGCACAGGCGTTCCCTCTCTTTCCCTTCAGAAACCCAGGTTCAGTGCCTCCGACAGCCATGAAAGAGGCTCTCTGTCGGTTTTCAGGCACTGGTTGAACCTCAAATGCAGGGCATCTCCCAGATGCAACGATCAGTAGCTGTCACTGGCTGACGATTTTTAGGAACATGCCACTGGAAATCCTGGGTGTTTGAAGAATATTGAAGAATCATCTCCGTCACTAGCAACCTTAGGACACTGACCTGTAAATTGCTGTTATCCCGAGTTCGATTTCTTAACTTAAATCATTCTATTTTCGGTTGGCTAGTTACTGATGTGCTCTTGCTGAAAACCCCAAGTCTTTTGTGAGTTCTCCCCAATTTATTGGTTGTTTCCCTCCATCTTTGGCAAAATCAAATCATCAAATCATGACTAAATATGGACTTCTGAACATCATTCCCCAAAAATCCTCATGGTTTCTTTTCAACAAACATTCCCACCTTCCATCTACCCTCTGGTAATTTAACATAGCTATTGAACATGGCCATTTATACTGGATTTTCCCATTAAAAATGTTGATTTTCCATAATTACGTTAAATTACCAGAGGGTACCATACTGGGCCTTCCTGCGGCAATGCACAGCACCTCATAATTCATGTCTCTTTTGGCCACCTGCGAGGCGCGATTCAAAATCAACGAAGCGCAGCTCTCGGCTTGAAAAAATGGATGCTGATGTTGGAGACCGTCGAAAAATGCTTCTTTGGCCAGATTAGTGTATATATATATATATCAATTTATAGCAAGAGAGTAAAGTTAATAAATGTGAATAATATTTATATATATAATATCAGAACTATCCATCCAAGGTCGACACAGAATGGGTTTGACCAAAACAAACGGTACCCAATGACCTGCAAAATTGGTCCTTTGATTAATTCATCCTAAACGGGGTGTCAATGGCGCTGATACTCAAATGGGTGTGTCATGGCTATGACTGAAAATAGCCGATTGATTGTCATTTGACTGAGAATATGATGAGAAACCAGTGGATGTGGTGTGCCAATATTCAGACAAGCCCACACATTTAACCAACAAAAATCCAGATGTTTACCAATCATAATGGTCATATAGTAGGTAACCAACAACATTGTGATGTGATGCGTTTGCGCAAAGCACATGAGATCCGCTTCCCCGTGATTTCTCACGGCCAAACCCCCATGGGTTTTAATGCACCACAATCCATCCCCGCACCTCGTTGAGGGTATGGCTCTCATCGATCTCGAAATACAAAATCTCTCCACCCGACAGAGCGATCACCACCTCAAAACAGAAAAGCTGCTGACCCAGCAAAAATTACTTTACTTCGTGTGATCCCCACCTTGACATTTATACATTTTCTTACTGGCAAATCTTCTGGCATGTGATCTGGCATATCTTCGGGCATATCTTCTGGCATTCTATCTGGCATATCTTCTGGCATGTGATCTGGCATATCTTCGGGCATATCTTCTGGCATTCTATCTGGCAAATCTTCTGGCATTCTATCTGGCATATCTTCTGGCACTCTATCTGACATATCTTCTGGCATTCTATCTGGCATATCTTCTGGCATATATTCTGACATATCTTCTGGCATTCTATCTGACATATCTTCTGGCATATATTCTGGCATATCTTCTGGCATATCTTCTGGCATATCTTCTGGCATATCTATCTGGCATATCTTCTGGCATATTTTCTGGCATTCTATCTGGCAAATCTTCTGGCATTCTATCTGGCATATCTTCTGGCATATTATCTGGCATTCTATCTGGCATATCTTCTGGCATATCTTCTGGCATATCTTCTGACATTCTTTCTGAAATTTTTTCTCACTTTCTTCTGCACATTCTTTGTCCCATATCTTCCTACATGAGGTCCGGCAGGGAACACTTGGCGTGGATACTCGCGGTTGAGGTCCGGCCAGGGAACACTGGGCGTGGATGGTCGTGGTTGAGGTCCGGCAGGGAACACTGGGCGAGGATGGTCGTGGTTGAGGTCCGGCAGGGAACATTGGGCGTGGATGGTCGTGGTTGAGGTCCGGCAGGGAACACTGGGCGTGGATGGTCGTGGTTGAGGCCCGGCAGAGAACACTGTGGATCGCGGGTCGCAGTTGAGCAAGGACGACGAGGACGACGAGGACGACGAGGACGACGAGGAGGACGAGGAGGAGGAGGAGAGGAGGAGGAGGAGGAGAAGGAGGAGGAGGAGGAGGCAACTGACATAAAATCTAACAACCCTCACCTGGCAGGTGGGGAAAAAAAATGGTTGGGGTATCAACAAATGTTACCATCTGGTTATTTAACATAGCCATGGAAAGATCCACCATTTTTAAGAACGGTAAACCATCTATTTCTATGGGCCATCTATACCATGGCTATGGTAAATAACCAGAGGGTATCAATAATACCATGCATATAAAGAGATGTTAGCAGACATACTAATGACCTCAATTGGGCCAATTAGACACCCATTGTGGGATGTTTACCAAGCTTTTTTGGATCCACAGCTTACAGTAGCCATTCCACCACCCGTTTGGGATGGTAAATCATCAGGTTTGTAGGCTTACACAATATCACAAACAAGAAATCAACAAATTGTGAATGCTAGTGGTATATATTGGTATATATTGGTATCTATTGGTATATATTTGTATAGTAGATCTAACAACAAAATTGGGTCAACACGAAATTACTCTCATGCTATATCGATTCTTGGAGAAACTTTCTGAAAATCCATATTTTGGAGAGCCTTCCAACCCCCAGAATGCCAGAATCTGCTGTGTTATTACAAGGGAGGCTATACTTTGGTAGTATCTAATATATATATATATATAATATTAGAATTATATATGAACCCATGTTCATCCCCAAGTCAGATTTTAAATCGTTGTTTCAAACATTCATGTTCAGTATTGGCTAAAAGGAACTAAGCTGTTCATGAAGAAGTTGCGCCCTGAACAAACCGTTGGTTTCTTACAGAAGATCAGGTGGTTTTTTCGCACAGAAGTTGGAAACCTAGTTTGATTAAATCTGTAACATCCTGAAAAAAGTGGTCGGCATCTTTTCTATGGACCTGTACCCCCAAAATATTGAAATTACTATTTTAGTTGATACCCCTATTGCGAATCCGGGGGTTAATGCTGAGCTAACGTGTCTTCAAAAGTCCAAAACACATTTTATTTCGGAGAATTTTGGGGGGAAGATCTTGGGATAACAGTTCTTGGTATATATTTCCTCATGATACCTAAAGCCTAAATCCCATACATATCCAACGAAAAAAAACCTGTCGACCCTCCCAGCTCCGAAAAACGTCCCGAAAACGCTCCCGAAAACGTCCGAAAGCCACCTGTCGCTCGTTGGCCGCAGCGGTCACGATACGCTTCTGCCCCGGCACGCGCCACCTCTCTCAGGCGGTGGTGGGAAATTCCATTTCCCCTATCAAAATGGTGATGAAACTAAGGTTTATTTATATAGGTTTCTTGTGGATTTTGAGAAATAGAACCTAGTATGATTATCTCAAAATGATAACTAAGGTTTCATGATCTCAAAATGCTCATGTAGAAGGTGCATGATCTTTCTGTCAAGATCGCCATGAAATTGGAGGATTCGGCTGTGATTTGCCATCGAAATCGCCAATGATATACTCAATGCCGAAGGTCATAAGAAAGGAAAATACCTAGAAAGAACGCAATGCTTGGGAATATCTAAGAAATATAGCTGCAACTCAAAGTGGCCATTTGATGCCTTTTGATATGTTTCTGGCTATTTTTGAGTGACAATTCTAAGGCATCCATGACCTGAACATTGCGGAGATGCAAGTGCTCACCAATATGAACCAACATGAACCAACAATGGTATATATGACCAATAAGAAGTGCGTGTAACCTAGCTGTTTTCCCGGAATTTGAGTTGTGGTAAAGCTCTGAACGCAAGGGTTCAGGGGATGCAATTTAAGATAGGGACTCATGCAGACTCATCTAAGAATTCTCAGAATGTCATGAAATTATATACCCTCTGGCTATAAAAAACAGTACGGAATTTGGTGTGGACGGCCAGTTCGATGACTTTTTGGTTTTCAATAGCTGCTTGTTGATTGGCCACTCGTTCCAATTTCCCGGACCGGCAGTCATGATCACACCAGCCTTTGTGGATACCGCGTGATTGGAGAACCACTGTCCACTTGGATGTTCAACCAGGGTTAAAACCTAGTTCTTGAAACCAAAAAACTGGATACTGCATCATTTAATTCAAGTCTCTCTAACCCAGCTATAAATGATCCAGTATCCATTTTTTCCAGCTATAATCTATAACATTCTATAACATTTTCCCAGCTTAATATCAAGCTCGATCATGATTCCCAGCCATAAATCTGTTTCAACCTCCATGGCTAGTTTGGGGATTCCCCAGCCCATGGTTGATTTTTTCGGAGAGTATCCCACATCTCATATTGCAGGTTAGTTGTATCCCATTACCCTCTGGTAAACTAACATAACTCTGGAAAATTCATTATAAATGGAGGTTTTAATGGGAAAATCATCTATAAATGGGCAATTTTCCATGGCTATGTTAAATAACCAGAGGGTATATCCCCATTATATCACCATTATATCACCTTCATATCACCATCATATCACCAGCATATCACCATGTGTTCAATGCTTTTCCGATGAATTATATCCCATTAAAAAATGCCCCCATGATATCCCCATGGTGGAGGCTTCCCAAAATGGGGTACCCCCTTGCATCATCCAGTCAGAAACGACCATGACTCAGTATTGAAACCCACGGTGACGACTGGGGATCCCCCATTTCAAGAAACCCCCGTAGAATGAGAAAACTACTCTTTGGGGATGGTTAGATTATACTACATCCCCATGATATCCCCAACATATCCCTATAAAGTGCATGTTTTAATCCCTATAATATATATATACACACATACGTACAATTAGCATATACCATTAACTAACAACAATAAAGCCTATCATTATCATTAACTATCATTCAAAACATCATATCATCACTATGGGATTTATATATAGATCAACTAGCTCATTAATTGTCATCAATCCTATCATTAACTATCATTAACGATCATCAAGCTATCATTTACTATCATGAACTATCCTTAACTATCCTTAAGTATCTATAACTATCCTAAAGTATCTATATATATATACATATGCATATATATATGTGTATGTATATTTATACGTGTATATATATATATATATCGATGTCCCCATGATCATCCCCCCACCACGGTTGACACCAAGGAACTCGTTGGTTCGTCGCGGCAGCAAGTGGCGAATACCTGTGGGATGCACCTGGCCAGAGATCGCAAAAGGGGACGTCTCAAGGGACACAGTGACTGATATAAATAGTGTATAGAATATAGATTATTGAATATAGTATGAAGGTAACATCTTCACATCTTCATCCTACTAATCTATATTCTATATTCACTATTGTATTCATCTATAATATAATAGTATAGAATAGTGATATATTATATATAGAATATAGATTATTGTAATAGTGATATATTATATATAATAGTCAATATATAGAATAGTTGATATAGTGATATATATATAGTGATATATATAGTGATATATAGTGATATATAGTGATATATAGTGATATATAGTGATATATAGTGATATATAGTGATATATAGTGATATATAGTGATATATAGTGATATATAGTGATATATAGTGGTTATAGAATAGTATAGTGATATTATATAATAGTCAATATATATAGTATAGTGATATTATATAATAGTCAATATACATAGAATAGTGGATATATAGAATATAGTTGATATATAAGATAGCTAGTGACTAAATAGTATCTAAATATACAGAACGACTAGTGTGTTCATGAATATGCAAGAACGTATGTACATACGATCTACCTATTATACATTAAATATACTATCTATCTGTATGCAAACTATAAAGCAAATATTCAAAAAACAATTTTGCAAAATAAAAAGTGGAATGGTCTACAGACACACGAAAGGTGCACTTCGAAAACCGCAGTGCAGTGTGTTTCACCACAACGTTTCTCACCGTGCCACCTATGGCTTTGATTCAGAATGAGCCTGTCAAAACGGTGACCGAACAGTTTTCCATTCATATGGTTAGTCAAAAACCTTGTAGCCCTGGTGAACATGAAAATAGCTCTTAAAACGGATCTTCATCCCCCTAAAAATGGTATTCAATGGTATTCGGCATTGATCCATAGTGATATTGGACTGTTTTCCAGCGAAATTAGTACAAAAGCTTCGTTAAATCATATCATAGGTGGTCGTTGCTCTTCGTGGTTTCAAACCGTTTCAAACAGATACCAAAATAGTTATAAATTGATATACCCTCTGGTAAACTAACATGACTATGGAAAATCACCATTTTTAATGGGTAAATCAACCATAAATGGCAGTTTTCAATAGCCATGTTGGTTTACAGAGGGTAAATTCGTCACTTGCGCTCACTATCCCAGGGAAAGGGGAAAGATGTTCACAATCGTTGAGACCACACAGTGGCATTCAGTGGCCATATTCCCATGTTTTCCCAATTTTGGCTGGTGAACTGCCCAATTGTGGTTGGTGAATCCTCGTTCATTGGGGAACTACAAGAATAAACCATCCCCAATTGTCTTGGTTTACGAAAGTGTGTAGAATATACCCCTAAAAACGGGATGATTCAGAAAACAGCCTCCAAAGAATCCCAATTAATATATAGTAAATTCAAACTATGGTTGATAACTGATGCTTCACATCGTGGATTTCACATGGTCCGCACCTGCACGTAGGAGTCATCCGCCATCAACTGAATTAACAAAGATGGCGCAGTGGCCAAGAAACCACTGTCCAACACCTGCAGGTGCATCAGAACCAATTCTGTCGATGGGGAAAACGATGGAAAACTGGTTCAAGCGAACATAGAAACTCCCAAACAATGTGACCAACCCTGGTCACCAGCCTATGATATAACCACAAGTGCCACCAACTCTGAAGAATTGCCACCAAGTTTGAACACACCAATTCCTATATGATAACACATGATAACACTAAATCCCACGTGAGACATACAGTCCTCAGTTGATTTCTCTTTGCTGCAACTTCGCGCCGATGATGTTCCAAGGGTCTCAACATCCCATTCTCGGACAACCACCCCACCCAAAAAATGGTCAGACATCCACTGAATGTTGGTGGTATATCATGCCATTTTCACTGTATATCCATGTATATCCATGGTCATATGCACTGAATACTTTCATACTGTCTCATGATTCTGAACCAATGATGGATCCCCAGTCGTCACCATGGGTAAACCAAAACTAAAGTGGTCGAATTTTGGATTTGGGGGTAGCCCCATTTTAGGAGACCTTCATGTTGTACATCCCGTCCCCTTGCGCCGCCTCCCAGAATTCGAATCCCTCCCATCAGAACAGCCTTCCGAACCCCGATAGAAAAGATAGAAAAGTATGTTTAATCATTGTTTATCGCTATTTTAGCAGATTTCACTTGCATCTTTTTGAGGGTTGCTATAAGCTACGCCCTTGATATCAAAGATGGTTTGCTGGAAAATCACCCATTCAGTTCGAAGATCTTCCCAATAAAATGCCCAAATTTAGTTCGAGGATTATGGATAAATTCGAATAATTCGCCAACCAGAATCAAGTTCATTTGTGGATATCCATAACTCACCACATGTTTTCCATCATGTTTTCCTTCATGTTTGCCATCTTTCCATGATTTTCCCCATCATTTTCCCATCATTTTCCCATCATTTTCCCATCATTTTCCCATCATTTTCCCATCATTTTCCCATCATGTTCCCATCATTTTCCCATAATTTTCCCATCATTTTCCCATCATTCTCCCATCATTTTCCCATCA